GGACACTGCCATATTTTTGTGTGGGATGAGTCTTTCACAATTTTTCCTGACATGTTTAAAACTTCTCTTTAAAACCGGACATGGTGGCACACCCTTGTTTGTAATCCCAGCACTTGGGAGGCTGAGGCAGGAGGATCATTGAAAGCTTAAGACCAGCCTGGGCTACAAAGTGAGCTCAGAGCCAGCCTGAACTGCATAGTGAGACCATCTCAGACAAAAAAATAATTAAAACTCTTCTTTATCAGTGAATAAATAATCCGTCCCAGGGCCAACAGGCTGCTGAGAAGGTAGAACACAACAGCCTGCTGCTATGGGCTTCTTGAACCTGGAGTTACGGGCACCAGGTGGGGGATGGGGTGGGCAGGACTCCTAAGACCATCGTGGGGTGAGGAGGGGTGAACAATACCAGGGAGCCCTCCCTCTGGGGTTCTCCCTGATACTCTTCAGGTGAATGGAGAATGGCCTGTCAGCCTAGCTTTGCCCCTGTACATAAGAAGATGGGGAAGACACGGCCAGCTGCCTGTGTGCCCTTCCCTTCGCTCCCTTCACGGCAGGCCTGGTTCGGATGCTTTGCCTTAGGAAAGTGAGGAAGGAAACATTGCTCACATCTCCAGAAAGGTGCCTCTGAGCTGCCTGGACTGGGACTACCAAGGACCGTTTTTCCTTTAACTCACTGTATCAGCAGGCTTAAGGAAACATTCCCGCCAGGTCATCCCCACCATAACTCGGATCTGACTCCAAGTAACGGGCTGTAACGAACCTCGATGTCGGATCTGAGTGAACTGCTTGTAAATTTCAATGTGAAGGTGAACCCTTCTGGATCCTGGGTTTTTCTGTGCCCGCCCAACGAATTCAGGATGTTTGGGCAAGAACCACACAGCTGGGGTCGTGGTTGCTTTGTCATCCTGACTGCTCGGGTTTGCTAGCTCTCACTGTTGCACTCCTCCAGTTCCTTAATGTCGCTTCAGTCCCCGCTGGAGCTATCTGACTGTCCGCCTGCCCATTGGTCCCTGTTCCAGAGAGGCGGGAGGAGGAAGAGGAGCTCGGGGTGGTTCCTTAGAGCAGGAGGCTCAAGCAGAAGGAAGCAGACACTGACTGGATCTGAATATTTCAAAATTTTCTCTGATTATTTTTCCACCCCCCACTCCATCCCCCGTTATGGCCACAGCCAGCTTGGCCACTGACTCCGACAAACATTTCCGAAACAACAGGAAAGGATGCCCTACTGTATTGGGAAGTTACTTTAATCTTAGTCTGCCTACTGATTTCCTCAGGGAAGACTTTTTAAAGTGATGTGAGTAATACCCCAACCAGAAGCTGGTCTTTTATTTGAAGGTCATGGAGGCAGAGCAGACCAAGACGAGGAGCGAACTGGTGCACAAGGAGACAGCGGCCAGGTACAATGCTGCCATAGGCCGCATGCGGCAGCTGGAGAAGAAACTCAAGAGAGCCATCAACAAGTCCAAGTAAGCCCCGCGCAGCTTCCCCGGGGCGGCGCGGTTGCCCGCTTCCCCCATTTGCTCAACCTTTACGTGCCATGTACAGGGGCTGGGACTTGACAAGCCTTTCATGCAGAGCCTAGGGCCTCGCCAGAGCCCCTGTCCAGGCTCCCTTCCCACATGTTCTATAGGACCCTCAGAGCCAGAGGACGCTGAGGAGCAGCTGCTCCACACCAAACTGGGAGACACAGACAAAGGAATATGAAAAGCAAACCATTATGTGGCCCATAGGCTGGGCTCTGGGGAATTCCCGTGGTACCTGTGGCTCTGTGGCTGACTGGACAGGGCTCTGTCCCTCAGTTTACCTATCAGCGTAATGGGAATAATTTGTCTTCCCGTACATGCTCTCTCTGTGGATATAATGCTGTAAGATGGTTTCAGTGGAGCTTTCCTCAAGCTCTTCTCACTGCTACCCCTCCTTTATTTTTATAAACTATGTTCCTGGTGGGCAAATAGAGCTCTTAGGGATAAGCCCCTGCTCTACTTGCAGTTCCAAGGCTTCCACGCAAAAGGGGCAGGACTCTCAGTGGCCTGGACCCAACAAAGATGCCCCGGAACAGAACATGCCTGCTCAGCTCCTGAAGGCCTCTAAGAGGGGACACTGGGCCAGCTGGGAGGGGCTGGGCGGCTGGAAGCTCAGCATCTCCCTGGTGAAGGAAAGGTGCCAACCCAGTGAGGGTGAGGGTCTGAAAGGAAGAGCTTGGTCCTCCTCTGCTGTGTTCCACCCACACTGTCTCCCGCACCTGTCTTTGATTTCTGCCTGTCTAGTTCAAGGTCCGTGCGTGCACACCTGTGCAGAGGAATATCCAGCCGTTTCCTCTTGCAGGGCATGTGTGTGACATTCTGGACAAGGGAGGAGGTGGAGAGGGTGGCTGGAGGACATGCCCCTGCCCTGGTGAGCACAGGCAGCACCCGTGAGGGAGGCCCCCCAAAAGGTGGGGGGGGCAGCCTCTGTGCTGCTTCCCTTGGTGAAGTAGGAGGGCTCTTTCCACAAAAGCCCTCCAGCCCCACTGCGCACATCTCACACGCTTACCTGGTCACTCATCACTTACCCTGTTAAGAAAACAAAGTTCTTGTGGCCTTACCTCTGCCGAGCTTTCCAGAGTCCTGGAAGAAGGGAAGGGCTGATCCTGACATCTGGGGTGGCCCTCCCGGACTGCAGGGCCAGAGGCATATCTGCGCATTCCATGGACTGGCTTCTGGCCTCCTCCATCCCACTGCACCTCTCCATCCTTGATGAGGCCTTAATGTGCTCTTGCTCTCCCTCCTGGACACCTCTGTGCTGCAATGCCTGTCCATGTGCTGTGCATACCCCACGCCCTGATACGCGTCCCTGTGGTCACTTGAGCACACCTGGACCCTCCTCTTCCGAGCTTCCGATTTCCTGTGCTCACTTGCCAAAGGTGTCCTGCGTTGTCCTTGTCGGCCTTTACTGACGGGAGGGGTGCTGCTGTCTCGCCCAGCCGGAGCTTTGAGCAGCCCTTCCCCAGCCTCATCTGCTGACACCCTGGGGGAGCAGATCCAGGCCAGCTTCACTGCAGGGAGAACCACCGCCCTAGAAGGAAGAGAACAAGGGTGCGGGGGCCCCAGTATCCGGAGCTGGGCCAAGGGTGAGACCAGGGGCTGGCACCTGTCATCTGGGTCCTAGGAAAAGCTCCCAGCATCACCCTCATCTCCTGACCTTCTCAGAGTTCTGGGCACACACCCTGGGAGCCCCAGCCGGCGGTAACGGTGCCTGTCGGGCATCTTGTAGACGTGACCAATAGCTGTGTCATACTGCTCTTACGATTTTCCTTCCTGTCTTCACAGACCTTATTTTGAACTCAAGGGAAAGTACTACGTGCAGCTTGAGGTATGTGTGGCCTTCAGATGATATTTTTCTGCACTCAAAGCCCTACTTTTAAGTGGAAGCAGGCTTTCTATCGACCCGTTTACTACATGGGGAGAGTGGAGACACACATTCTTCCTGTGTTTCCACACCTCAAAGTGGTCTGGGTTGGCTCTTCCCTGGTGTCTGAAATTATCCCTGCAGATTGTACTAGGCTTATGATTCTCCCCGTGCATGAGCAGCACTTAGAAACTTGCTAGAAATGCAGGTTCCCAGGCCCCACCCTAACCCCCCACCGCCACCAGGTCAGAACCTCTGGGCTAGGGCCAACTCTGGGGATGCGGATGCACGTGTGAAAAACACTGTACTGGGAACCAGATGGCCAGACTGTAGCACCTGTGTCTGATGTCCACGTTTGTGGACACAAGAGCTATAACCACATTTGTAGACACTGGAGCCTGTCACCGAATGGGACTTGGGGTGGTGGTGGCTGATTTTCTATCTGGCGACCAGACAGTGGTGGTGAGCGGGCAGCCCCGCCCTTAGTCGTGTCTCAGGAAATTCTCTGAAGTGGAGTCATGTGCAGAAAATGTATTTAACCTGTCATTCAAAAAGCCCAAGGCCACGGAGGCAGCTTTCACTTACGGAGCCTCCCATCTTCCTGACAGCAACTGAAGAAGACCGTAGATGACCTACAGGCCAAACTGACCCTGGCGAAAGGAGAGTACAAGACGGCCCTGAAGAACCTGGAGCGGATCTCGGATGAGATCCACGAGCGGCGGCGCTCCAGCGCCATGGGGCCTCGGGGCTGTGGCGTGGGCGCCGAGGGCAGCAGCACATCTGTGGAGGACCTGTCTGGGGGCAAACCGGAGCCGGATGCAGTTTCTGGTGAGTCAGGCAAGGGGGGATCACGGGACTGTGACGCGGTTCCAGGGCTGTCTTCCCCCGAGGATTTCAGGGTCGAGCTGCCCTGCCACTGTTTCCAGTGGTTTCCCATGTTTTGTGGAACGCTGTGCTTATCAAGATGCAGCTAGATGTTACTCCAAGTCAGGATTCTGTGGTTCCGTAAGTTCGGAAAATGTTACCCTCGCATCACTCTCTGAGACAGTATACCTGAGAGCACTCAAGGTCACAAGACGTCCTGCAGCAAAGGGGAGTTGTCGTAAGAATACTTTGGAGTCAGATTTGATTCAGATCCTGGCCTTCACATCACTACTAGTATTTACACTTTGTTTCTTCACCTGCAAAACAGAAAGTAGCCGGGTGTGGTGGCACACGCCTGTAATCCCAGCACTTGAGAGGCTGAGGCAGGAGGATCCTTGCGAGTTTGAGACCAGCCTGGGGTACAAAGTGAGCTCAAGGCCAGCCTGAACTGCACAGCAAGACCCTGTCTCAAAGACAAAAAAAAACCACACAAAAAAACCAGAAAACCAAAACCATAAAGTATAGTATCTACTTCTGCTGTGTAGCAAGAGTGGTTAGAACTGTAAGACGACGGGCCTGGCACCCAGTGAGGCTCCATAGCAAATGGTGGCTCTCACTGGTGTCTGCCTGTGGAGAACTCCGACTTGGCTTCCACTGCAGTCATGGAGAAAACTTCCGTCACTGTCTTTGAACATTTCATTACTTTTGCTTTTCTGTGGAATCATCCCTGGTTGGCTTTATTCCAGGCTCCTTTCTTAGTAATTCTTTAGTGCCATCAGCAGTTTGGCTGCCCAACCAGGTTCAAAGGAAACGAAACAATGACTACGTGGGTTACTTTAATGTGTGTCATACCGTAAAATCTGTATGCAGAGGGTTTTGAAACTGAGAGGTTAAAGAACTTGACAAGGCCACACAGTTAACAGTGGAGTTAGGGTTTGAATTCGGGTCTCAGCCCATTTTCTGTCCCCAACATTATAGTTCTTAATCTTTAACAGTCTTCTGTGGATCTACAAGGCTGTTTTCAAGATGCCGCAGGTAAAAGAGAGCAGGAAAGACATAAGGAGAATGTGTATAGCTGAGGGGAAAACAGCTAAAGGCCGAAGAGGCTCTGAAACCATAGGAGCAGTGTATCTGTGGGCCTTGGTTTTTCTGGCCTGCAAATGCAGGCAGGAGCTACGGAGCACTGCCAAAGGGTTTTGTTCTTTGTGGCGATTAGTGATCTAAGTGGGCTCCAAGTGGGCCTTCTGAAAGATGAGATGTCAGCTGGAAGGAAACGAAGGTGTTCCATACAGGCTGTTTCTTCCAGCACTCTTGCTGCTTCTGCCCCAGATGGAAGCCCTTAAATCATCTTTGAAAGATGGGCTTTGTCTTCCTGGGATTTGGGAGCCTGAGGGAAGGGTCCTGGTCTTGGCTGAATTCATCTTCCATCTTCAAGCAGTATCTGCTCATGCTGGTTTCTAGGGCAGAGGTTAAGACTGCTGTGAGGACAACTGTCCACGGAACCCTGCTGTTTCCCTTCGTGCTGCCGGGCTGGGCAGACAGCGTCGCACTGCTTTGTTCAGGGCAGGGTTTCTGCAGTCCTGTGCTGGATCTAGCTGCCCGCCAGCACAGCGTACTTCGGCAGGGGTTTAAGGAACTAGGTTACTATCTGTCACACCCCACCTGACTGGTATTCTCTCTCATCTCAGTGGCCTCAGAGGCTTTTGAAGACGACAACTGTAGCAACTTTGTGTCTGAAGATGACTCAGAAACTCAGTCTGTGTCCAGCCTCAGTTCAGGACCAACAAGCCCGTCTGAAGTGCCGGACCAGTTTCCTGCAGTCACGAGGCCCGGCAGCCTGGATCTGCCCAGCCCTATGTCCCTGTCAGAGTTCGGGATGATGTTCCCGGTGCTGGGCCCTCGGAGTGAGTGCAGTGGGGCCTCCTCCCCAGAGTGTGAGGGAGAACGAGGTGAGTGGCAGCCCCCTCATCCTTCCCACTGCCTGTGTACTGTCTGTACTTCCGCCGGGTCCCACAGTGCCCAAGGCCGCGTTGCTGGGTCTCTGCGAAGGAGCTGCTGGAGGCCATCGCTGAGATTGTTTCCAGGGGCTGCTCTGTGGGCTCCTGACTCTTCCTGACCAGCTTGATAAAGTAGAGCTTAGGTCCTCATCTCCTAGAGGGAAGGGTTCCCCAGCTGCATGATGAGAATGACTAACCTAATCTCTAATTATATGGAATATATAAAATGCTATAAAGAATAAAAGCAGTAAACAACTACATGGTAAAGGGCTCTCTCTGATTCTAAGGTGTGTTGGGAAATGCTGGGAATTTTGAAGGGCTGGCTGGCTGGCTGGCTTGTGCCTAAGTAATTTACCACTGTCAGTACCCATTAGGTAACCTTTGTTTCCCCACAGGAGACAGGGCAGAAGGGGCTGAGAATAAAACAAGTGACAAAGCCAACAACAATAGAGGTCTCAGCAACAGTGGTGGTGGTACCAGGGGTAAGAGCCAAAACACCTCCCCCGAGGGCCAGGCCTTGGAGACCCGGATGAAGCAGCTCTCCCTCCAGTGTTCAAAGGGAAGAGATGATATTATTGCTGACATAAAACTGGTGCAGATTGGCTGATCCACTGAGCCACGGCCCATGTGCAAAAGAACGCACGTGAAACTGGAGAACATTGTGCCAATAATTGTTTAACATATGCCAAACCGTACGCATTTACTCTAAACTGCACTAATGACGTTTCAGTGACCTTGAAGGCTGAAGAGTTTACTTCCGGTAAGAGCTCTTGGGCTGGTTTGTTTGTCAGAGCAGAGGTATCGCAGGTGGACTGTGAACAGGCTCACAGCCTTTGTGGAACATTCCCTGTAAGAGGGTTGTGGAAGCAATAACTAGTTTCTGTGAAAGAACCCAACCATGGAATCGGGCTGGAAGCTTAGCTAAACTGGAGACCATAACTTGAATCTCTTCCCTTCTCTGGCCCTCAGTTTGGGGAAACTGAGATGTTCTCTCCATTATATCCCAGGGCATTTAAATAGTTTAAAAACCCACACAACAAATAAAGGTGTTCAGAGTACACCTTTGTGACCTAGTGAAGGCTTAAATATTCCAAGAACATAATTCATTTTCATCACCTCTGGGGTTGAGAGGGGCATTTTTTTAAAAAGCATGTTTGCTGGGACACTCTTTAAAACCATTTGCTAGGAAGGCTACCATAAACTGCACTTTTGGGGGTGGGAACGGTGAGCATCAGCGTGGGGTAGGGGTATGAGGGTAGCAGGGACATAGCACAGAAGGGGATTTGTGGCTGTGCGAGAGAAGGGTCCGTAACATAACCTTATCCTGCCAGCCAAGGGGATTTATTCTAAGAGAAGTGCATGTGAAGAATGGCTGCCATTGTTGTATCTAGACTGACCAGGTGTTCATTTCTCTATAGGTTGTTACTTTAAATGAAACCACTGAAGGGTTACGCTGCACTAGTTTTTCTTAAAGCTAGGGAAGGGAATAGGCATGTGTTGGCAAGGCTGTTAAATAGAAGCAGTGGGGTCTGTTATGCTACCAGTAGTGTTAAGGCTGCTTTTATTATTTTCTTGGTTACGCATATTTGGAGTGCTGTATTTCATTTGTCTTGTTTTGTTAAATTTAGCATTTCTAAAAGAAAAGCAATCTGCCCATTTCAAGTTGTTAGTTACTACTGTCACAGCTTGTATAGTCATTTGTATATCTCTTCATACTGTAGTAGGTTCTCCTTTTTTATTGACTGATACAGTACCCTGATTACAAGGTTATTTTGTACTTGTCTTAATACCTTGAGTGTAATAAAAACTGCTTAAGAAAAGTGTGTTCGTGTGACTTCAAATAAGAAATTCCACTGCTGCCCAGCTCTGCCATTCCAGGTAACCCTCTTACCGTTAAGATCACGGACTGCAGTGGTCATTGTTCCCATGTTCAGTTAAGGTCCTGAATCATAGTGATTGAAGCCCAAACACAAGGTCTGAACTAGAATTACACTTTACCATTACTAAAGGAGCACAGTGAGGAGACAGCGGCAGGAAACACTGGGAAGGCGGCTGGGTGTAGAAGAGGTTTTCAGCCCTGTGGACCCAAACCCTGGCCGTCTGGTCTCACCCCCAAGGACTGAAGTGATCTGTGCTCTAACATTGGCTCTCAAGTTCCCACGTGATTCCACAGTGTTGCATGGTTAACAGTCAGATGGTTATCACGGATCTTTGTTCTAGTAGAAATGTTAAGGTGCTGGTCTCTGTATCCATGGACTTCTCAAATGTGCATTTCTATTAAAGCACACAGTAGGAAAAAGTGCAGGGTTACCCGATAACCATGAGGATTAAGATTTTACTTAGTAGTTTTTGCTCAAAGTTCACCAGATTACTTGAATTCCAATGACCCTATTTTCAAGGTCCACTGAGTTCTCATGTAGAATCCCCATGTACCATGGATTCAATCTCTAAGAAAAGACAGTGAAACTTCCCTGAGATACTGTTAGCAAAAACTGTTCCCTGCAAATGAGGCTCATTTTCCCACTTTCTAGGGGGAAAAATGCCATTTGGAAAGGCACTGGAGTGCCCTAAAGTTCCTATAAACGTTCCTCAAACAAACTGTACAGTCTAATGTTCAGAATCTAACATGTGGTGAACTTCTGGCTCAAATACATTACCCTAAGAATAACCTTATATTTGCCTTGCAGAAAGAGAAGGCACAGAAAAACACTTCATTAATGATTAGAACTTTATCTCTAATACTTTTTGCAGGGAATGGAAGTAGGATAGAATTTTCTAGCACTAGGGCTTTCCCTTGTCTTTAGGAAGACAAGCCCGTGCCAATTAATATAGGACTCCTGGATCATACCCTGTGTGCCGTCAGGAGGTGGGGCACAGCTGGGGGTGCCTCTGGAGGGTATCTCTCCCGCTAGTGGTCTTACCGGTACTGCTTTCTGGCCGCCATGAAGGGAACAGCTTTGCTATACCACACCCTCCTGCCATACTCCTGCTTTGGAGTCAGCTGACCATGGTTTGAAACCTCAAAACCATATTAAACCTCTCCTAAGTTGCAGGCATTAAGTATTTTGTCCCAGGGTTATGGCCTATATCTAGATGCCCCCTCCCGAAGCCTCATGTGCTCACTCATAGGTGGGGCTTTTGGGAGGCGCATGGATCACTGCTGTGTGATACTAGATTAGTCCACTGATGGGTTTACAGCTGGGTATGCTGCTGGAAAGTGAAGCCTGGTGGGAGGAGGTGGGACACTGTGGGAAGGGCCTGGAGATAGATCAATATAGCTCAATGTATCTGCCTTGAGTGCTGCTGTTCCTGCCTACCATGCTATGAACCATTTCTCCTCTGCCATGCCACCCTACCTTGCAGCCAGCCAACTAAGGACTGAAACCTACAAACTGTGAGCTAAAATATGCCTTTCTTCCTGTAACTCATGGATGTCAGGTATCTTGTCCCAGTAGTGAAAAAGACAGAGACTGAGATTAAGGGCAGTGGACTAATTAATCTGGTCGAAGAAACTTCAAGGCAGTCTAATGTTGAGGACTTTTACCCAGATGTTCCTTTAGAATCAAGAGCAAACAGCCAGCAGAATAATGTAACACATTTACGATGGAGCCACAGTTCATGTCTCACTGCCAGGTGGCTTGAACCACTGGTGGTACACTGTCCCACTGTCCCACTGGGCATGACTGTCACACTGGGTGGCTTTTTATTAATTTTATCAGTAAAAAGACCAATAAAAGTGATTAGATCTGTTTGTACCACCAGTGATTCAAGCCAGCAGGAATATGCCAAACAATGCAATGGCACTGCTGTGTCTAAAGGACAGGGATATGAAGATACAGTGCTCTGGGGCTGTCAGGACCGACTGGATCAGCACTGAACAAAAAGCAAGAGAACAACTTTAAAATCTTCAGAGTTTACAGACTGTACTTCAGGAGGTGATCACAACTCATAACTAGCTGGATCCAAAATTTATCACAAATATTCTGTCTGAAAACAGTATTACCACTACTGATCAGACGTAAAATTCTTCTGAGGACTCAGAATGATGTGGACATAGTCTATGTGGCTTATTATTTTGAAAAAGATATTAGAGGTGAATCTTTATTCCATTCCAAGGAAGTGGACCTGAGAATAAAAAAGTGGGGAATAACTGAATCTGAATCCTAGTATGAAAAAGTACCTGAATTTTAATGCAGGGCCAGCAGCCAGTTGTTATTGCTGTCATAATAGATATTGTGATAATAGAAATTATCACTGGAACTGCTGTCCTGGTAATTTCCAGAAAGAAGAAAATAGCAAATTATGAAAAGGCTGAGATAAAGGAGATAGGTAAGATGCACAGAGAACTCAATGCATAACTACTCTAATTTGAAGATTAACCACAAGGGAAATTAGCAAAAGGATTCAGATTACAAAGGCACGAACAAGGGAGAAAATAATCTCTGAGTATTACTATGTAACTAACTGTTATGTAACACCATAATTGTAATAGAGAAACCTGTGCTCTAAGCAGCTTGAAATTTGCATTACCAACCTTAAAATCTGACTATAAGTGTCTTATTTATGCAGATCTAAAATAAGACCCAGAACCTGAACTATATCGTTAAAATATGTGTAATATTAAAGAGTGCATTAAATATTCTTCCACAGTATTCTGAAGGACACTGTCTCATTGGGGGTTGAAAGCTGCCTTTCTGTTTGAGTCTTGCACATAGAAACTTTTTGCAGAAATACAAATATTTTTAAACTGAAAAAAAGATTCAAATTCTAAGTCCTAATAAGTATTTATCAAACTGAAATGTCATTAATAATCTGCCACTGAATTAAAAGATTTCTGAAGCATGTATTTTCATGCAAACAATTCTTTTTCCAATGAAACACGTTGGAATATTTTAGTAAATCAAACTCGCTAACATTAAGCTATGCATTTTCCGTCAGTATAAACGTTTTATTTCCATTAAAGGCAGCAGAAATACAAAAGAAGAGGTTTGATAATTATAAAGTAGAGACGATGGAGAGTCCCACCCTAGTTTCAGGCCTTCAAACCCCAAGCACTCTGTGCGGACGGGCTTTTACGTAAACGGCTAGGAGTGTGCGCGACGCCAGTTCTTGGCAGCCCCCTTGTTCTGAGTGCCGTGTGACCCAGAACCACACACTCAATTTTCAATTTCTTCAAAACATTGTTACCACAAGAACACTGAACTACAGAGTAACTAAAAAGACTATACGAACTAAACTATAACGTCCTTAATACCTCAGATTGCTACTTTCATCAACCTGATAAAAAAAACTGCCACCATGACTATACCTCAATTCTCTATGCTGCAATGGGAGACAGGTTCTAACCTCACGACCTTTATTCTTAAGCCTGAGCATCTTCATGCTAAGCTAATTGGTACTTCTTAAAGCTTTATTCTTTTATAACATCTGGGCAACAATAAACATTTAAAGTCATAAATAATGCAACACTAATTACAGTGACATGATTCATTTGGTAATCAGTTGCCCCAGATACACAGAGGGACTCAACACAGATTTAACTAACAACATGCTTTCTAAAAAAAAAGGAAACATAATTATTTCGGAATATTAAAATAGTCTGCCTTTCTGTTTAGTGAGTGTACATCCCTCATCTGATCTCAGCCTTGGCCTCCAGGCATCTCACAGTGACGACTGAGTCTGACTTCTAATCATACGCATTTTTACACCAAGTGGCCCCTAAACGCAAGCCAACTCTCTCTATACACAAAACCATGTAAACAGTACTTCTAGGTGACAAAGATAATTCTGACTGCATACAGTTCTTACCAATCCGTGACAAGCACCAGGTTCCATTGTAACACGTTTTGAAACTTAATCCTGTTCTGATTGTTGTATTTATTTTCCTGATGATTGTGTCCTCATTGAAGAGTTGATGCTTAGCAAGTACAACCTCCAGTTATCGCTGAGATTTCTCTGTCACTGAAGTTGTGTTGTCTTTATGGGGATAACACTATTAAAGTCCAAGAAAAAAGGTCCTTCTTGTTTAGGCAAAAAAGTACTGGGAATGATATTAAAGATCCCAGATGGTATGTTTTCTAATTCCAGGTAGCAAAATCCACACCTAAATTCAGAGAATGAGAAAAAGGTTTATAGAACATGCTACAAAAAGTGAAGTATAAATTTGGTGTAATCAGAATGCCAATGTTACCTATAATCACCACTAGATTTCCTCTGAAAGCCATGGGGAACAGGGTCTCCTGCCAAAGAAACCGTTACAACTTCAAATCCAACACTGTATTGCCTAGAAAGATGAACAGCGTTGTTGTATTAGTAAGCAGCTGCAAATAAATGCATGGCTTAAAATATATCTAAAGTGCAGATGAGCTGAACTATGAGATCAACATACACTTTCTGAAGCTTCAATAGAAACAGTACTCTGAAACAATGACACTTTTAACTATACAAAATGCCATTCATATTTCATTGAAGCCCTGAAGTCTAGTATCGTATTGAGTTTCCTTTAACAGAGACTATGTTAAACAATGAATGGATAAAGATGACTTACGTTTTTTTTATACAAGGGAGGGCTGTACTTAGCCATAAAAAAGGATAAACTTGAGACATTTCTAGGTAAATGGATGCACTTTGAGACCGTAATTTTTTTTTGGAGACACGATCTTGCTATGCCGTTCAGGCTAGCCTTGAACTCGCAACAATCCTGCCTCAGCCTCCCAAATGGTGGGATTACAGGTGTGCGCCACCACGCCTGGCTGAGACCATACTCTTTAAGTGAAATAAATTGAACACACGTGTAAACATCCTATTGTTTTTCTGGTGTGAGAAAGAAAGTGTAAATAAGAACCACAATGTATAACAGATATTGTGAAATAGGAAGAAAGTGTTCAAATGGGAAGGGGGAGGGGAGAGAGGAAAAGGAAGAAGAAAAAAGAAAAACATGAGAAAAGGAAAAAATGAAAACAAAGCTTATGTAAATAAGGAGGGTAAGAGGAGTTGAAGGGAGGGGAAGGGAATGGGAAATAAAAGAAGCAAGATTTACCAGGTACAGGTACAAATTCCCTATGATGAATGGGATCATTATGTATACCTAAAACGTACCAATAAACAATTTAAAAAATAAAAGACTTTTTGCCATAGGTTCCTCAGGGAATAATTCCAAAGATAAAACACTGTCATTTAAATTTAAAAGTTAACAGACAAAATATTGTAATAGGAAAAAAAAAAAAAACAACAAACTTACGGATCAGGAAAAAAGCCCTAGAATAAAATCTAAATTCAAAGAAATAATTAGAATATGACACATGGCATTCCAAATCAATAGTGAAATGCAAGATTCACTTAGATGGTGATGAGGTGATAAAACTTTTGAAAAAAAATTTAAACTGTATTTCATACCAAGTACACGTCTGTATTGTAGAAACTACTATTTTGCCTTCCACATTTAAGTTTGTATCCACCCTGAATTTTTAGACTGGATGTGAGAAAGCTCTAATTACCACTTCTTACACCTGGATAATCAGTAAGTCCGTGCTGCTTACTGAAGACTGTCCTTTCCCCGTTCCTATATAATGTCTCATTACTACAAATCAAATGCCCATATTTGATAGGCTTCTATCTAAACTTTGTTCCCCTGAGCTCTGGTTTCATACGATATCATTAATTTAAGAAAGCCTCTCATCACAAACCTTGGTCCTCTTAGCTCAATCAGTAAAGGCCCCGCCTTTTCTATATGAAATTGGTAGATGGGGTTATTTTTGTGAGTCTCCTGGAAGTTTCCACATCCTCCAGCACTCTGACCACTCCACTTTCCATTGATCTAATAAAAAAGAGTTTTTGTGTTACAAAACTTCCCATTTTCCAGCTCCATTCCTTTCCACCTTTTAAAAAATGAAATTTAAAGCAGTTCTCTATTCTGTGGCTCCACCTCGTCTCTGCAGTCTCTGCCACTGCCAGTGAGCCCTCCTCCTCGGCCAGGCTGCTTTGCTGCCCTCCATCTGTCAGCCTGGAATCAAGCGGTTCTCCCTGCCAAGCATTCTCCCTAGGATATTCCTGTACTCAGCAAGGCCATACTCCAAAGTCATTCTCAAAGCCGACTTTAAAGGTTCACCCACATGGACTTCTTTAGCTGCTAAGGTTTGTGTTAACCTCTTCTCCGACTCCCTTGTTTCCACAGAAAAACCGAACGTTGCTCAATGAACTGAATTCCAGTCGAGATTGGCCGGCACTTACATTTCCCTTACATTCTTGTTAAATCCCAAAATGTTTCCATAAGCATAAGAAATAAAGTGACAAAAGGGAGGAAAGGGAATTTTAAAATTCTAAAAGAATGCTACTATCACCCAGAGGAAAAAAATTCCTTACCCGTTTTGATAAGGTGTATGGTGAAGGAATCTTTGAAAAAGTAAAGCTGCATGCTGAATATACCTAGATTGAAAAAAAGAAAAAAAACCAGCACCAGGGTGAGAGGGGAGATTATACTGAGAAACTTTCTACTTACTAAAACATCGAAATGATGAAAGAAGAGACTGGATATACTCTAAGGCTAAAAAATTAGTTGGCATACACAAGTCATTCAGTAGGTAATAGGGGATTAAGTCAGGTTTGAGATCTAGAGATCCTGTCTTGGTTTTTTTCTGTGACTATTTGACTCGGGGTAAATCACGAAGTTTCCAAACCTCAGTTTATGCATCTGAAGAATGAAAGAGTGGCAGCAACTCTCAATGTCTTTTATCACTAAAAATCCATTCAAGATGAGTTTCACTTAAATATGGCAAGCAAATGAGTGACTTTCCCAGCATGAGAGCAACACCTTTGTGATATAAAAGTTCTAAGTCACCTTTAGGATAAAGGAGGTTTTTTTAAGGAATTTTTTATTTCTTGCTTTAAAACTGAATTTAACATTGTTTTTAAAAACTTGTTTTAAAATTGGTCAGCCAGGTGTGGGGGCACACACCTGTAATCCCAACACCAGAGAGGCTGAAGCAGGAGGATAACTTCAAGTTTGAGGCCAACTTGGGCTCCACAGTGAGTTCAACGCCAGCCTGAACTATACAGTGAAACCCTGTCTCTAAATTAATTAATTAATTAATTACAATTGAATTTATCAGTCCAATACCACAATTCAAGACTAAACTACTTAGAAAATTAAAATGTTCATTTAAAGTGTAATTCAAAGTAACAATGTTCTCAAAACAATTTTATAAGAATGAACTGATAAATATACAAAAATAGAAAACAGTAAATTTTTAGAAATTAAATTTTTCTTCAGAAAAAAAGAAAATTTTTTTTCTTCAGCTAATCCACTTGCAAAGCACAGCACATTATGTACTTCACATTACCGTGTTTTGTCACTGTATGCTGGTTACACTTACCCGGACCGTGTAGTGGATTGTGTTCTGTTTTTCATACTGAGAAACCACTAATGTAAAGGTGTGGGTCCCAGGCGTGGTCAGTTTTATCTTCGTCAGATAATGCGGGCTGTTAATTCGAATTCCATCAATGTACGGAGGCGGGTCAGCTGCAAACAGACAAGCCAGTTTACAGAAAAGAAAGCTTTTCTTTCCGTTGTTTCACTGGTTGATAGGGAAAAAATAAAGTACATGGACAGACATCCCTTCACTTGATGTACTCTTTAAAATATAAGGGAAGTAAGATTTTAATTTAAAAGTCTGTGACAAGCAAAAGCCATCTTTTGGAATGTATTCTATTAGGTATAATAATCCTTGCTATTTGCTCGTGTTTCACTTTTCTCCAGCAGAGGATTTTAAAGTCAGGATTAGCATCTTTTTCTTTTGAGTGAACAATTTGTAAAAAGTGGAAAAAGTCTGTAAGACTGTATCTGTGTTCCCTACCACTCAGACTTCAGTGAGTAATTCCAGGCATCATAGTAGCATTTTACAAAACTAAGTCCCTTTTAATCACCTTTATTTTTTCAGACGCTAATACACACAATCTTTTCAGACATTAATACACACAATCACACCACCCTAAAAATGGATGAATCAACAAAACTCTTTTCAGTGTGAGTACAGCTTGAGAATCCCTCCTCAGAAAATCCAAAACCTGATGGATTTCAGTGCATTTCAAATTAGGGATGTTAGGGGCTGGGGATTTAGCTCAGTGGCACAGCGCCTGCCTGGCAAGCGCACGGTCATGAGTTCAATTCCTGGTACCGGAAGAAAAAAACCAAGAAAACAACAACATCAAATTAGGGATGTTCAACTGTAAAGTCCATGAAAATATTCCGGTATCTGAAAAAGATCCAGAACCTCAAACACTTGTGGACCCCAGCATTTTGGACAAAGGCTGTTCATCTATGTATCTTTAAAAAGGACAGTGTGTGTCTCGTTTCATAGCCTCCATTTTGCACTCAACATGTTTTCATGATCTGTGCTGCTGAATGCATTCACTTTTGACTACCTGTACACTGTCCCGTAATATGAATAGGACATATCTACCCCTCCAACTGGCTATTTAGGGTATCCGAATACTGAATTGATAGTCTCATCAATCAAGGCGCTTATAATACTGTCATTTTAGGAATGTCAACCGCTGAATGTCATTTAAGATTCATGCTGTATCAGTTAATACGTCTAGAATCAATGAGTATTTACAATGTGACCTACCAGAAAAATTTTAGTATCTCAAGTAGTAAATCTCTTAATGTTTATAGGTGGTGTGCTCTAGGGAGAAGCAAAAAAGAATGGACATATCTATGATCTTGGGCAATGTCTGTGATCTTGCACTATGTCTGTTTACTTTCATGTCAATGGGGAACGAAGCCTGTCCTATTTATTTAACATGCTGTGATGCAAATAAAACTATAAACCTGAAAATTCTATGAAGAAGCAAAATTACTATACATACAGGTAGGAGTATTGTTTTAAAACATACATCTTAAAAATAAGGGCATGACCACACATTCCTGTGATCCCAACACTCAGGAGGCTGAGGCAGGAGAACTTCCACGAGTTCAAGGCCAGCTTGGGCTACATGACAAATTCAAGGCTAGCCTGAAATGCACAGCAAGAACCTGGCTCAAAAAAAAAAAGGCCAGGCATGGCGGTGCATACCTGTAATCCCAGCACTCGGGATGCTGAGGCAGGAGGACTGCTGCAAGTTCGAAAGCAGCCTGGGCTACAAAGTGAGCTCAAGGCCAGCCTGAACTGCACATCAAGACCCTGTCTTAAAAAGACAAAAAAATAAAATAAAAATAGAAGAGCTACAAAACAGTCTTTACTTTTAAAAGTAAACACAATAAATATATTTGAAATTGAAAAGTCATCTACTATTTCATCCTGGGATACATGTGTGTATATGTAACTTAAAATTTACCACCTACTACACATCCTGCCCACACTGAGACCTAGAAACCTCAACTGATAAAACCCAGTGCCTGCGCAGTACACTCATCTCCCTACTCTGCTCATTACTTCTGATGGCCGCATGTATGCATGCGTGGTGCTGGGTATCAAACCCAGGGCTCTATGTATGCAAGGCAAAGGGCTCTACCACTGAGCCACATCCCCAGCCCTTCGTGGCCATTTTGAAAGAACTATCAATAGCTGATTCTTTACATCACTTTTTTTGACTGGGGACTGAACCTGAGGCTATGCACTGAGCTACATCCTGGCCCTTTCTATCTTTAGTTTTGAGACAGGCCCTTACTCAGTTGCCCAGTCTGGGTTTGAAGTCTCAGCCATCATTCCGCAGCCTCCCGAGTGCTGGGGTCACAAGTCCTTCTCACAGCAGTCCACGTGGGCGTCCAGTCCCACCTCCCAACTGAGCCGGTTCTTTCCACAATTGGCAGTGACTGGCAGGACGCTCAGCGGAACAGCCTCCTTTCCACCCTAACCTTCTCTGACCCCTCAAACAGCAACAGGTGCAGCTGCCCATGTTTTTCCTCAAGAAATACTCTGCCTGGGCTATGTCAGACCCTGCTCTATCAGGCACTCTGCTCAAACGTTTCTGCAGTACCTGTTCTCTTGCCCACCCTCAAGACATATGAGAACCCAAGGGTCAGGTCCTGAGTGATAACTCTGTACCTACAACTCTCTTCTGAAAGATTATTACACAGGCCTGTTTTCAAATGCCGTTCAAGGGCCCACGACTCCTTACTCGGTACCTCCTCCAGTCCTAACTGTACCACAGAAGTTTACTCACAACTCCGGCTTCCCACCTGGCATCTTCATTTGGTACCTAATGGCATCTCAAACTGAACAAGCCAGAAGTTACCTTTTGTTTTACACCACAACAAATCTGCTCACTCACCCTATGAAGTCTCACCCACCTGAGTAACCTTTTTATTGCTCAAGGCAAGAATTTTGGAACCACCCTTAATTCTTCTTGGCCCCCAACATCAACTCAAGGCCTGAAAATCCTACTGAAACTTTAATCTGTCCACTCCTCACCTCTGCTCCTACCAGCCCAAATTCACACCACCATCATTTCTCACATAAACAAAATCCTAATTGGTTTCTCCGCTGCCAGTTCTGGCTTTCTTCAATATAAATTTTTAAAATATTCTCTTTTGAAGGTTGATCGTGTCATTTCTCTGCTTACAATTCCCCAAGCCTTTTCCACGGCTCACAGACCCTCACGGGATCTGACCTCTGCACACCTATCTGACCTCTCTGCTACCACACTCCTCAGCCAGCTACCCTAGTCTTGCTCCTGTTCCTGCAGCACAACAATCTTTGTCATCACACCAATCTTACCGTGCTAGTCCCTGCACTTGCGGCCCCTCTGCCTGCAATGCTTTTCCCTCTCCTACTTTGCATGACTCAGTCATTTTTGTCGTTCAGAGTTCCTATGATCCCTTCCCACAGAGAACCTTCATGCCCACCCAAGCACATCACCAACCAGTTACTAACATAAAATCCTACTTTATTTGTTACACACAGGTATCACTACCTGATTGTGTGTGTGTGTGTGTGTGTGTGTGTGCACTTGTTACCTGTTTCCCCAACTACAATAAACACGCCACGAAAGCAAGGTCCTGGTTTGTTCATCACTGTTACCCATACCCTTAAAACAATTCCCATCACTCAAGTTATCATTTTCTTTCTGATAATTTTTTTTCTGATTGTTAAAGCAAAACGCTTTACTACCATGTGTACAAAGTCTCTGGAGCTCTATGCAGGGAAAGATGATCACCTAAGAAGATACTGAGGCAGAGGCTGAGGATTTAGCTCAGCGGCACAGTGCCTGCCTGGCAAGCGCAAGATCGTGAGTTCAATTCCCGGTACTGGAAAAAAACCATACAACCATTAAAAATAAAAAGGAGAAAAGATGATACTGAGGCTATAATATCACCCAAGATTATACTAAAAACTGAAGAATATCTTTAAATATTTTTAAAAAGACATGATTTAAGCATGAGAAATAAAAGTCTGAGAGCAATGTACAAGAAAATGGAAATCCCGCCAGACATGCTTGGCACACACTTGTAATCCCAGCTGTTTGGGAAGCTGAGGCAAGAAGAATGCCAGTCTAGGCAATTTAGTAACAACTGGTATCAAATCCAAATAAAAAAAGGATGGAATTGTGGCTCAGTGGTAGAGTGCCTACCTAACATGAGCAGGGCCCTAGTTTCAATCCCCCGCATCACAAAAAATAAAGCAAAAAAAAAAAAAGAAAGAAATCCCAAATCCCTGGAGTCTAAATTAAAAATGAGCCAAGTGTGGTGGCACAGGCCTATAAGCCCAGCGCTCAGGAGGCTGAGGCAGGAGGATCACTGCAAATTCGAAGCCAGCCTGGGCTACATAGTTCCAAGTCAGTCTGAACTACATAGCAAGAACCCTCTCTCAAAAAACCAAAATAAAAAGTAAAATAAAATATAAAAATGCATCAAAATACAACCCATCTGTTTGAATGGCTTTAGCCTATCAGCTTAATTATTAATTTCTGCATATCATCTACATACAATTGGTCATTTTTCATTTTAGCCATGTAAAAAAAATGTTTTAATGTTCACTTGGCTAGTAAGCATACCTGGGTAATACACTTTTTTCCCATCAGTCTTGTATACAACCATTGTGATAAATTCTCGATTGTTTGCAAAATCATCCTAAAACACAAAGAATCCAATGCAGTTAGGAAAATGGGCTCAAAATGCTCTTAATGTTAAAAAAAAAAATTATGGTCATTTCTTTCAGCTGTTTAGTATTATAAAAGCATTATTTTTAATTATAAAAATATTTCAATAGATGAGTCTACCGTATGAAATATTAAGATTCTAAGGTATAAGGATTAAGTTAGCCTTTTTAGAATCAGATCTAATCAGTCAACATTTCAAACCCCCGTTTAGCATATTTTAATGTTAATATTTATAAGGTCTAACGTATATATTACCAACCTCCAAATCCTCACTGAACAGCATAAACTCCATATTTTTCTTTAGATGATTTCTAGACATTTTAACTATATGATTATAATGTAAATATTAATTGATCTGACAAGACACTATTTTCAGGGAACATACATAATGAAACAGGCTGGCAATCAAATTATGTTTTTTTTTTTTTTTTTTTGGTCTTTTTGAGACAGGGTCTCGCTATGCAGTTCAGGCCAGCCTTGAGCTCACTTTGTAGCCTAGGCTGGACTTGAACTCACATCAATCCTCCTGCCTCAGCCTCCCGAGTGCTGGGATTACAGGAGTGCGCCACCATGCCCAGCTCAAATTATATATCTACTGATCCATATTTAAAAGCATTTCCCTACAGCATGTCATTAGACGGGTATCAGTCAGTACCTTGTCTGTTATGTGTCTACTAAGCAAAACCCAAACTGCAGCACCCCCTTGTGGACACTGCACCTCTAGTTTGTACTGGGGGTTGTTGGCCAGACTATAGGCATCTTTCACAGGTCCTTGCTTAGCATCCCAAGTACTAAAAGATAAAGTCAACAAAGAAAGTAGGGATTAAATTTCTCAGAGAGTTAAAATATAACACTAAAGAGGGTTGCGTTTCAAGTACAATTAAGCTATCAAGTTTTTTTATTTTATTTTATTCTTTTTAAAATGTTTGGTATAACCCAGAAATATAGAACAAAAGTAACTATTACAAGACAGTTACCCATGGCCAGGACAAAAAAAAGAGGGAATGCTAGTCCTAAATTAATCATTACATTTCAAATTTTTAAAGTGGAAAATATTATAAAGTATAATGATATGTTTGAAAAGTTACCTGTGAATACATGTCGATTCTTTAAAAAGACCTGGATTCCAGCTCAAATAAATCACATCATAATACTGGCAGAGATCATCCCATGAAATCCAAAATATTCCTGAAAATTAGTGTTTTTTGTTAATCTAAAAAAACTTGATAAATTAGTTAAATACATTACAACTCATTAAAACGTTATTTGACAATTGGTACTACAATTGCAAAGACATATTTACCATTATCTATTTTCTGAGCTGTTCGAGGATCAAAATTTAAATGTTTTTGCAACTCTGGAGTCCAGTTTTTTACATCATTTTCACTGTATCTTCCTTTCCAACGTAAATGGCTCCAAGGATTTTTCAACTGGATAAATCGCAGCCCCTATATATTTAAAAGGAAAAGAAAAGGGGAATAACTAAGTTGTATCACAGTCATTGCGGCTCCCAGCTAGTCTTTCTCTTTACGATCCCGTGAACAATCTCTAACTCTGTCCTGACAGGCATAGCTCATGCTGTTCCCTCTAACCCGAAAACCTCTCTCAGCTCTGACTCAAGCCCAAGGCAGTAGAAAAAGAGGGAAGAGCCTGAACTCAGGAGTCAGAATAAAACAGGACCAAACCCCAGCTCTGCTTATCAGCTTATGGGCTCTGGGTGAGCCACTCAGACTCTACACATGTACTTATGTAAAAAACAAGAATGATGAGGTCTTCCTGGAAGGTTAAAAGAAGTAACACAAACTTTTAGTACTTTCCTTCTTTTAACTACTGTTTCTCCTCTGAACTTTATATATTGATGATATGTATTACACTAGTTTAAAACACAGAATACTTTATCTTACACTGTTTCCTACTTGTACAAATGCATGTCTTAATGAGATCATAAACTCTCTGAAATGGTAATATTATCAATCTTTTTCAGAAATCCTCAGTGAGCTTATAGAACAGTGTTAATGTTATGTTAAATGTTCAAAATACTATCTTTGTCTACAGAATTGATTACACTGACAGAGAAATTTAAAAGCTGGTAATTCCTAAGGAACAGGTCTTACTTCAAGCAGCCCATTCAGGAAATTGCACTTTTCCTAAAGATGTCCTAAATCAAATTAATTGAGGGATTTTTCTGAAAATCCACATTCACTTGTTATTTTAAAAGACGGCAAATTGTGGTCTGAGGTAAAGGTGATTTCCTGATAAAGGTAAACTCAGTTCCGCAGGCTGTATCCCCTAAAAGCTTTTAGTAATATATTTTCTCAATTTTTTCTATACCACCTGGGCATCGCCACACCTCAGTCAGAAGATATTTAACTCTTAACTCCTCTTTTCATAAAACTTAGCTCTATCTGAGCAGGAAATCTCTCCTTTATTTCATGATTTCTTCACTTCTGCTAAGCTTTTCAGAGACAGGTCCCAGCACCGGGGCAATTCTAAGACATATGACGAGAGAGTTCTATTTAAGGGTAAAAAACAAGCAATTCAAAGGGCCCCAACCAGGGACAAAATTGATTCTCTATGTGTATTAAAATCTGAGTACATTTTCTAGTATTCTTTTATTCTCTGCATATATCTTTGAAGAATTCCTGGTCCTGGGGTAATTTTTTTAATAAATAATCTGGGTCATGCAGGAACATCCCATTCCCACAGTTATTTCCAAGTAGCAGCGAAGGAAAGTCCTGGATGCACTCAGAAACCCCGTGACAGGCCTGGCGGAAAGGCGCAGCAGGAGCCACAGAGACGTACCTGCAGACTACTGAGGGAACGTTACCTCCAGCAGACACAAAATGATGCAAGGGAGGACAGCTGCAATTAAAGTGAGTGTGTAGGCAGGTTAAGAGACAAAAAGAATAATACTTTTATGGCAGTATTAATAAACATTAAGAAAATTTTAAGTGAAGAAAGTCACAAATGATGTAAGACTGAGGGTAGCTTTAAGCTGTCTACAAAGAAAAGGTTCTAAAAATAAATGCCTGAAAGAGCAAAATGGAAATATTTAAAATAGAAGTCAGAATTAAGTAAATGTCTCAAAATACAGAGAAAAGAACTCACAAAAATGACAAGCCCAAGCCGCCTGTAATCCCAGCATTCAGGATGCCGAGGTGAGAAGATCAAGAGTTTAAGACCACCCTGGGCCTCTTAGGGTTGAGGCTGTAGCTCAGGCCAAGACCCTGGCCTCAACAACAACAGGACAGGACCAGGAATTCTTCAAACATATTCTCAAAGAATAAAAGAATACTGGAAAATACACTCACATTTTAACACACATAAAGAAGCTTTCAGGGAATGATGAACTGTGACTGAACAAAGAGTTCACATAAATGAGATACCTGCTCAAGATGGGTAATACCATCCGGGGTCAGAAACTGTCCAGCATCCCAATGTGAATGTGAGCATGAACACAGTGAAGAGGCCGCCACCAGGCAAACTTCTTTCATGTTCCATGCTCTGATAAAATGTCTCAATCTTACAGACTCGCTCCTGTAAAGAACTGATACTGTGTAACTAATGCTACTACTTTTTAACTAGAAAGTAGAAAATGCTACTACTTTTTAACTACTTTTATTTGACATTCTTGAATTACTGGCATCCAAAAATTTTTTAATGTTCTGTCTTCAAATGAGACCACAGGTTCCTATTCTTGTCATAAATGTGTTTAGTTTCCTTTTTGTTTTTGTTTAAAGACAGGGTGTTCCTATGCAGTTCAGGCTGGTCTCAAACTCACCATGTAGACTAGGCTGACTCTGAACTCACAACAATCCTCCTGCCTCAGCCTCCTGAGTATTGGTTTTAAGCAGGCACCACCACCCCTAGCCAGTCTCCTTTTAATCAAAACATTTAAAATAAATGATACAATCTTTATAAAAAATCCTGCTTTCCTATTGCGTATTTCATTAGCTAAACTTAAATCACTTGCTATTATCGCACTATTGGTCACATTCACTGATCCCTACTTTTCAGGATGTTCTAACAACAAATATACGCAGTACTGAACATTAACAACTGATTTATTACACACTGGTGTTTGTGGGAAATTACAATTCTAAAATATAAATCTCTCACATTATTTAGTTTCTCATATACTTTTATAGTCTTTGCTTTGAGTGCCCAATTTTAACACCACTTTTAAAGAAAACACCATTTTACTCAGTATGGTTGCAGCTGCAATGCTAACTGAGAAACTGTCTGGAGACTATAAATGTTCAAACGCTGCAGCAGGTCTCTGCTGCCTTCACAATTCATATGCAGTCATGTGCTACCTGAAAATGTTTAATGACAGACTGCATATACAACAGCACGCGCAAAAGACTAAAATGGAGCTAAAATCCCTGCTGCCTAGTGACTGCACAGCCATCACCACGTTCAACAGCGAGTACTCACACGTTTGTAACTAAGCCGAGAGGCTTCTGTGTACTTTAGAACTGTAACTGACCATAAACATCAACCAAAATATTGTTACAGTCATTACTATTCCATACTGTTTTCCCTTTTACTGTGATGCTGCTACAAACAAACCTTCGGTGCTGCCAACTGTGTAAAATACCGGGTAATAACAAACGACGGCTACTGGTTTATGTATTCACTGGATTTTTTACTCTATTAAAAAAAAGTTCATCATAAAACAGTATGCCATGTTAGGCCAGCAGCAGACATACACATCTCAAGTTTACCCCATCTCTTGACTACATGATTTTTCTCTTTTGGGTTAATCTCCTGTCATTTTGTTCATCCTGGCCACGGGCGCAATTGGCTCTAACACACACACACACACACACACAAACACACACACACACACAACCAGCCTAAGGGTATGAGTGGCTGAACTACCTAAATTTGTGTAAAGATACTCGATGCTCTCTGATGTTTGCATGAAAACAAAATCAGCTAACTACAAATTTCTCAGATTGTGCCATCACTGTTAAATGAGCTGTAACCGTGGTTCTGTGTACCTCATTACAACATAGTCTTATACACAGGGGTGGAATCACTGCTGACTGCCACTGCTTCTTTCTATTACAAAGGACTCTTAACACCTGTATCTTTCTAACCCATACAACTGATCAATTTTTCACTTAAAAATAACTAACAACCTGCACACGAATGCAGTCACACATCCTGATACCACAGCCCAAGTATAGGTTGAGGAAGGGTCTGCAAGGCCTGACTACAGGCCCAGACCTCAGGGAAGAGAAGCACAGGCTCTCACACACCCACTGGGATGTGTCTTACTCACAGCTATCTTCCAAGCTTTTCTCCTTTCACAGATATTTACTCAGTACCTACTCTCCTTCAGCGCTTACCACTAGGACTGACCCAAACCCCAATATGCAGTCTGCAAGCACAGGGGCCGTGTATTTACCTCAACCACGATACTTCTACAGAAAAGAGAAAGAGGTCTAATGGTGGTACTGCTCTGTCATCCATATCTGTGCTGTCACTGTCGTTCTGTTTCTCTCTTTTAATTTCGTAATTTATAATGCTAAAGGTCAAGCTGTTTAGTATAACAGGAAGACCTTAATTTGTCAGTATTCAAAAGGCTGATAATCATTTGTGATTCATGTGATGTCTTAACAAATAAGAGCAAGAGAAAACAATGCAAGGCAAAACCTTGAACTCTCTAATATCCAGAACAGCATACGCATGTGTGGGAACCAGGCCCCACTTCTCCCCTTCAGCTTCAGTCATCATTCCCGTCGATGCGGTGATGAGGACGTCCCCTTTGTGAAATCTGGAATGATCCCAAAGACAAGTAATTAAAGGAAAATCTTTGAAAACTTAGATCACACCACCGCTCAGTCTAATGGCTTACATGAAAATTTCCATATATCTACATCTTTTCAAAAATGACAGCACTCAAGAGGTTGAGGCAAGAGGATCACTGCAAGTTCGAGACCAGCCAGGGTTACAAAGTTCAAGGTCAGCCTGAACTGCACAGTAAAACCCTTTCTCAAAAAGGAAAAAAAAAAAAAAGAGCTTTTCCTAACACCCTGAAGAGCTTTAAACAAGAAAACATATTTAGGGCTGGGGATGTAGCTCAGTGGCACAGCACCTGCCTGGCAAGCACAAGGTCCTGAGTTCGATTCCCAGCACCAAAAAAAAAAGAAAGAAAGAAAAAACATTTTTAATTTACAGTGTACCTGATAAATTATCGCATTTCCTTTTTTATCCCAAGAAACTTAATTCTCAGGCAGAAACCTATCAATAAAGAAACACAAATGCTATATTTTTAGTTTACAAATAAGGAAGAAGATGTGAAATACCAATGTACTTCGCCAAAAGAGATAATCGTTTTATCAAACCACTAAGCTTTCTAGCCTTGCTACTGCATGTGTACTACTGTTTGGACAATTTTCCAGTCCACCTAAAGCTTAAAGTTCTGAAATGTCTCTTTTTCTACCTCCCCTCAAATTGGTAAGTACTTGGTAAGTACAGAATAATTTTCCATATCATACATTCTAGATTCAAATGTTTTGGATTATCTGTAACCATCACTGAAAATAACCGAACGCCGACTACCAAGCATATAAAGCCTGTTTTTAAAATAATGTCTCTAATAACTAAAAATGACAGCTTCTGTGATCTCTATGCTAAATATGGCATGATGATTTTAAACAGCCTCTTTTACTAAAAAAGAAAGGAAAAGAAGAAACTGTTTACCGTTGATAAAGCATTCTGAAAGAATTATCCTTACTGAAAGTTTGGCTATCTGAATGCATAGCAATCCTTTCTGGTATCCACCCAGTCAGTGCATGAAGATCAATATTCTGCAACATAAACACATTTCAAGGCTCTCAGTGTTGACTTTAAACTCTCAGATAAATTCTCAGGGTCGCTTTTAAATCACTGATTTGACAATGATTCTGATAGGAATAAATCAGAAGACAGTTAAAAGCTTTTCACTCATCTGAATACAAGAGAATTACTTTGTTGGTAAATATGACAAAAACTCCAAATATTTAACAGAAAAACTGCTTTGATGGTAACAGTTAACACTGAGTGAGTCCATACAATATGATAATCCCTTCGAATGTTGTATGTACATTCCCATTTTTTCAGCTGCAGTGGGTAAATTCACAGGCAATGGATCAGAAAGCTAAACCAGTAATGTATAGGCTAGGAAGAAAAATAACTTCCCATTGCATTTACTATGACCTTCGTAATCCTGCCTAGCATTATAAGATCCTGAAGAGCAGAGGAGGCCTGGTATTAGGCAGGGAAACTAGTCAGGTATGAATGATGGGTCATTTGCATACAGTACTTCATTTACTCTCTTTCAAACCCTGGGAGGTGGATATTATCCATATATTATAGACCTATATTATAAGCTGACAAAGGTGAAATACCCTTCATAAGGCCACAGGCTGGTCAATGCCAAATTTAAAGTCATGTTAAGTCAAGCAGTTCACTTCACACAACTAGAGGACACTGGCACACAGAGCTCAACTTTACAGGTTATATTAATAAGGCTGGAGAAAACAACTCCTTGAACTTAAATTTACAAATGAAAATATACATAAGAGTATTAATATGTTACATCTTTTGATCTGAAAAGACTACCCTAGAAAGTTACACTGCAATTAATTGGCTCTGTATCTCAACCTAACAGCAGATATATACATTTTAGAGGTTTCCTGACACAGAATTTACATAGTATACTACCCTTACACAAGAAAGTATGTACTCCCATAATAAGGGGACTAGTCAGTATTTCTCAAGAGCTGATAATCTGCCTTCTTTACCCATAAAGAAAACTAGTAGTAGTATCTACTATTACTTTTCAAGTTTAACATACCTTGTATTAGCATAGGTCAGTGTCTGAATCATACCCCCTTTTACTTACCGAATTGGATCCTGGGAAATCATAACCTCCCATAACCTTCATGTATGCTTTTTCTATGAGAGACACCCATAATTCACTTTTATTGTTGGAGTAAGAACACAGCAATTCTCCCTTATGATCAACAGGTAATTGGTCATCAATTATCACCTGAGGAAAGAGAACATTAATTTCCTTAGGCGAAAGAGTACCCTAAAATCTTGTCAAGGAAAAAAAACACCTTTCATACTGATAAAAAGCATAACAGCCTATTATTAGGATGACAGTTCCATGCTTCTAGAATCTGATCAATTATAAAACGTTCATCATTTTAATAGGATGCCTTTACTCAGTCTTATAAGCTAATCTGTCAGGTAAGCCACTTGTTACATATAACTACCATCAAAATTATTAGAGATTCTAGAATGTACATTATATTTAAAATAGCCGGGCGTGGTGGTGCATGTCTGTAATCCCAGCACTTGGGAGGCTGAGGCAGGAGGATCTTTGCAAGTTTGAGGCCAGCCTGAGCTGCATGGCAAGACCCTGTCTCAAAAAGACATAAATAAATAAATAAATAAATAAATACAAAATAATTGAGTTCAATTCCTGGTACCACTAAATAAATAAATACATACAATAAAATAATTACCAAAGAGCATCACTATTAAGATCAATATGTCATTTTAATCTAAACCTAAAAACTCATGCCTTCTAGTTGTAAAAGTAGAACATTACGGCTAAAAAATACATTTAAACAACGGAGGGGGTGGGCATGGTAATGCACGCCTATAATCCCAGCACTCAGGAGGCTGAGGCAGGAGTACTGCCATGAGGCCAACCTAAGCTACATAGTGAGTTCAACACCAGGCTGAACTGCATAGCAAGACCCTGTCCCAAAAAACAAAACAAACAAACAAAACAACAACAAAAAGAGGAAACAATCACCACAAAGATATAGTATATACCTTACACTAAGAAATTATTTGAAAGACACAGAAATAAAAAGTTTTGATCTAAGACTAACATAAATTCTACAATTCCATTTTGAAAGATTCTTCAAACAAGAGGTTCTTTAAGAACTACGGTCCAGGAAAAACATTCTCAAATTTTTGTTTGTTTTTAAGTAATAGCTAGAGCGACTCTCAAAGGATGTTCCCAGACCAGGGCACCAGCATCAGCATGGAACCTGTTAGAAAAGCACACGGCATCTCTTTCAGATGTAGAGTCAGAAACTCCGGTGGGGGGCCCAGCAATCTGTGCTTCAGTAAGGCCTCCTGATGGGTGATTCTGTGCACCCTAAAACTGGACTACTCCTGAGTGACAGAGCAGTGATTTTCAGACTGGAATCACCAAGAGAGCTTGTTAAAATGAAGACTTTGATTCAGTAGCTCTAGGGTGAAGCCTGAAATTCTGCAATTCTAACAAACTCCCATGTGAACTGAGGGTGATGCAGGGACCCACCCGGGTGGCAGTGGACAGATACTAAAGGACCCTAACAAGGGAACACCCTCAGAGGTCAGAGTGCTTAAAGAAATTGAAGCAGTATAACTTAAGACCATACGTATATTTCACAAAGGAAGTAATTTTAAAGGCTTCTTACATTTCAGGATGTAACTACATATAAACTCTTCTGACCTAACAGACTTAATGTGTCTGATTTCCTTTTAATCAAAAATATTAAGATCAGATTACAATTTATTTTAAGCATTAGTAGTCCTTAGTTCATTATTACTTATTGGAATCTGTCCTGGATTCTGTTTTCAATTATTAACATAAAATGATATTGGTAGTAGAGTGTGTAAGATCAGAGTCAAAATCAGCTAAACTGTAATATAGATAATATTAATTCCACTCACAACTCAAAAGCGGAGAAGGGAAGAGAGAAACGGTAAAAGGGAGACAATATTCACCTTCCTCGGGACTCCATTGAGGTGAAGTTTTACCATATACTTTCCACAGGGATTGTACTCTGGCTCACCATCCTTATTCTGAGGATAAATTATGCTTTTGTAAGGAAAATAAATATTGAAATACTCACATTAATATCCAAAATCGACTACAACACAGGAGATATTTAAACATGTCACTTAGACATATGCTATTATCTTTGCAATTTTATAAAAATAACCAAGAATATTTTCCTATGGTAGACCTAGACAAAGATTACATTTTCAAACTGCTTATTTACTATATAATTAAGAGTATTGTGAGATCATAAATGGCATAAATTTTATAATATTCTAAAACTGTTCAATTTTTAATTATATACTATAATAAGTCATCCACTAAATGGATATATTTTAAGCTGATTAAAATACTCGTTTATCATAAAGACCATTTAAACTGATCATAACCAAGGCACTAAGCACAACTCTGATCAAAGTCACATAAAATTATATAACCAAATACTCACAAAAACTATCAGTATCAATTTTCCTTTAAATTAATTTGGACCACATCAAGCACACTGAAAATTACTTTTACATGGGAAATAGCTGAAATTAAAGACTAATTCCTCTTTGTACTCTCAGAGGTTAATACACAAAAACCAGTCAAGAAAAGCTAAATGAAAAATGATGCTTAATTTTTACATTTCAATGATTTAAGCTAATATAACTCTCGAAAACTGAAAGAAAAAGTATTTCAGAGACATTTCAATATATTCTAATATATTCAGTTCTCACAAATATACACCATTTTATATTTTCCAATAGCCACATTAAACTTGAAACTAATTTTAATGATACATTAAAATTAAACTAATTTAAAAAGTTTATATAATCTATGATTTCAACATGTAATCAATACAAAAATTAGGGGTATCTCCTGTGCCATTTTCAAAATCTCATGTGCATTTTACGCTTGCAGCCCCTCTTAATTCACAGTAACTCATTTCAACTACTCAACAGGCATATTATAAATTACTATAAATATGATGAGATTTTACTTGATTTATTTTTAAAATATTTATTCCATGTTATTTAATGAAATATGCACATGGTCATACTGACTTAGTGTATCTTTCCATAGTAATAAATCATCTGCTTAACCTCTACGGATGAGCCATAGTATTCTAGAGACACTCTCTCTCCACTTTGTACATAGATAAAGCCTCAGTTTTTAAGTTTCCAGTTAAGAGATAAGCACATGAAAAAGACTAAAGGAACACGTCAAACTTTTACCTGGTAATCAGCTTTTTATTAAACCGTCTCTCATAAGCTGCACTGATAGCCAATGATGCCACAAAGGAACAATCTGATACTATTGTCTGCCAATAAGAACAGAGTATGAATATATTCCTTCATTCAAGTATTTTCAACATTAGCTAACATTTATGCACTGCACCTGATTTTTTATGCTAAATATCTTGACTGTTGTTTAAATAAGAATAATAAAGAGAAATGCCAGGCTGCTGACTCACGTATTTTACTCAAATCCTAGAAAAATCAAGAAGTATTTCAGTTGTGTTAATTTAACATTGGATAGTTATATAACAAAATCTCTTATATCTATTCCCTTTATCAAAAGTGAAATTCAGATTTTCAAGTTTTTTACCTACAAACACAAAAATCTGAGCTACTCGAAACAGTTATACAAGGCAAGACCAAAAAGTAGTGTTTAAATTTTAAAAATGTGTTACACTAGAAAACACACTGCCATTAATCCCCTTCAAAATACTTCTGCTTGCTTCAAACACACTATCCCATCATCCTTTTTTTTTCGTTTTTTTTTCCGCAGGAATCGAACTCACGACCTCGCGCTTGCCAGGCAGGCGCTGTGCCGCTGAGCTAAATCCCCAGCCCCTATCTCATCATTCTTGCCACCTTCTGAAGCAGTTCTTGAAGTCCTCTCTTGAGTGTTTACAAGGTCTGATCAAAACTCATATGCTGCCAAGTGTCAACCAATGGGAAGGCAGGCTCACAGAAACATTATGCCCAGCAGGCCCACTTCTCCACTGAGTGCGTCACTGCTCATGTATGAGTGAGCTCCTGGGAGCAGACTGGTGGGGTCCTGTGGGGGTTTCGGTCTTCAGCCTTCCCCCAGCCTCGTTCCCACAGGGATCACTGTCAGGCTCTTGCTCACCTCCTGGAGGCTCTAGGACAGCGATAGTGAACTGATGGCACCCAGACTGCCGCAGGCTGTTATCACTAAAAGCTCTGAAAGGGGCACCATCGCTGCTCTAGGGTTTTCAGGGCACTTCTTAAAGTGGGCGGAGAGGTTGCAGCTGGACCTGCACACTGCCCACCCTAGTTTCTACATGCAGAACTGCAGAAATGGTTCTTCACCAGAAAAGGAAATTCTGAATGAGAAATCCAAGCAAGGCTGGAAATTCACTGGATTCCAAATGATTCTGATCTTTCATGAAACACCAGTAATATCTGGGAAGGAGAAACCCACAGGCTACCGAGAAAAAACAATATGCTCCTGTGATTTCTCCTTGGGTGGTGGCAGTGAGCGCCACCCACTTCTGCCTCCAGTCAGGCCAGGACCAGTGCTGGCACAGACACTAAGACAAGCCCGCCACCGTCTGTCCTTTCTTCCCGAGATGCCCTAACTGTCCTTATGGCCCTGACAAAAGTGAATTCATCAAGAACCAGCTATGCTAATTTTTGCAAAAGCTGAATGAACCTTGGGACCTGGCGCCAAGGCTCTAGACACCACTCCTCCAGAGCTCTCCTTCCCTGCTTAGGTCCAAGACCTCATCTGGAGGCGGGTGGTGTCCTCTGCTGCAATGCATGGCAAAGGAGCCACAGCTCCCCAGCCTGCCCACTGGCTTCTACGTCAGCACATTGCTGCAGAGAGCAGCAACATCTCTGGACTCCTGGGAACGCAACTGCAACAAGCATAGGGCAGCACCTTGCAAGCTAAGGGGGCAGATTTCCACGGCATCCATGGACCACGGCAATAAGCATATGAGGAGCCATGCCCACCTTTGGCCACAGTTCTTACTTTTGTCCTCAAGAGGCTCTGAGAAGTGTCAGGGCCTACCCTGTGGCCCTGGCAGGCACCTGGGGACTCCAGACCAGGTAGGCTTCAGTGTTCTTCTCAGTACAGCCCCAGACGGTGCCAGAGGCCAAACATAGCTCAGCGACATAGGGAGCTATCTCTCAGGCATGGCACTGACTGATCCCGTGGAGCAGCAGCAGCTGTTATTATTTCTGTCACAGGCAGGGCAGGTGCAGGTCAGCACAGGATGGCTACCTACCACATCCCTCATGAGGACAGCTCCTCAAAAGCCCAAGGACCCCGTGGGCTCCTCACTCAGCTGCACCCAAGGCAGGGGTTCTGCACCTCCTCTTTAGCACATTTACATTAGGGTGAGCTGAGCGACAGGTCACTCTGCTGCCTCAGGGTGGTGGGCAGAGACATGGAGACATCAGCACTCAGCAGTCCTTGTGGCGGGAAGAACACAGCTGTGACCAGCAGGAAAGTGTGTTCACTCCATCAGAGGCATCTCAGGCATCAGCCAGGACCCAAAGCGTACCTGCTGGCAACCTTGGGGTAGTATGGGGAGGTGGGGGCCAGCCACCCAAGTTCTGCCCCTGCAGATCAGCGAAAGGACTCTGCTGGCTGCTAATGGAGAGATCCTTCAAAAAGAACGATTAAAAGGCCATTATATAAAGTGTTCAATAACAAAACAACAAGAGTTATTATGGTATGTCCTTATCCACCTTATTCACCGGATCTGCTTCCATGTAGTTCTGGCTCTTCCTCAAAGTCAAAATGACCTTTTATAAAGATAAGTGTTTGCAATCTGTTCAGGACACAAAAGCAGCCATGACAGTGCAAATAAAGACAAATGACTTCAGAAAGTGGCAAGTCGGCCGGAATAAGTATGTTCAAAGAGAGAGAGACTATTCTGAGAGGGATAACAGCGGTATTTCTTTTATTGTAATGCAGTCCTAAAAATTTAAATGTTTTCTGTCGTTCCCTTTATTTCCTATCATTTCTGATCAGTGTGTATGTAGTTACTTCCGTGCTTAAGTCAAAACGCGCAGAATGAGTAATTTTTCCAATTATTCTCATGTACCTAAAAATATAAAAGCCTAAGAAAAAACTCAAATTCATATTCAAATTTCCTTAAAATGCTAGTTTTCATACAGAATGTCACAAAATAAATGTTTACCTGCTTTATGCTAAAACTGGACACAGTATATATCATTGTAGGATTGCTGGTGAGGTCTTCTGGTCGAACCCACTTGGAAAATGTTGTTTTTTGTTTAGGTGATAATGGTAGCTTGCCCAATCTATCACTGAGATAATAATAAAAATTAAAATAAGTCATAATTAAGTCAAGGGTATAGCTCAGCGGCACAAGTGCCTGCCTGGCAAGCCCAAGGTCCTGAGCTCTAGTCCCGGTACCAAAAAAAAAAAAAAAAACCCTGAAGTCAAAAAACAAAGTCATAATTAAGTTTCCAGGAAGTTTTTTAATAGTAATCATTTAACTATATGTAATCTTTCTAAAATAATTACCTGGTCAAATCTAGTTCTTTATACCTAGACCTGAATCCACTCAACTTAACCATCCTCCTCAATTAAAAACTGCGTATGGGGCTGGGGATTTAGCTCAGCGGCACAGGGCCTGCCTGGTAAGAGAGAGGTTGTGAGTTTGATTTCCAGTACCAGGGAAAAAAAAAAAAAAAATTTTTTTAAATTAAAAATGCATAAATAAATAACTGAACACAGAAGCACAACCCAAATCCATTTATTTTTACTTTAAGGATATATATAATTTAAAAGTTTAATTTAGCATGCTTATGTTCAAGAAATTCAGCCAGGCATGGTGGCACATGCCTGTAATTTCAGCACTCGGGAGGCTGAGGCAGGAGGATCGTTGTGAGTTCAAGATCAGCCTGGGCTACAAAGCGAGCTCAAGGGCAGCCTGAACTACACAGGAGGCCCTGTTTCAAAAAGACAAAAAAGAAAAGAAAAAAAAGAAAAGAAAAGAAAAAAAGAAATTCAATAATAAAACACAGCCATTAACAACAGTACAGGGTGATTCATTCAAAGAGGCAGGAAGCTACAGATCCTTCCTTTGGCTCACGAACACTCTGCAAGGACAGAGTAGCTCATTTACTAAATACTATGAGTCAGGCATCACACTAAAGTACTTTACACTGAGTAACCACTTTGAAGACAACAATACGTAATACAACAACCACTGTTAACTTCCTATCACCTTGTTTTGAAATTCTGTATCATTTTTATTGTTTTTGTGTTTTGTTTATATTTCTTTGTTTTCAGTATTTTTTGTTCTTTTCTCTTTAAAATCAAAATTTTAAAAAATGAAGTGCTTTACATACACTATCCATTTAAATGCCCAGAATAATTCTGTTAAATTAAATATTTTGGGACTGGGTATACAGCTCAGGGGCACAAGTGCCCGCCTGGCAAGCACAAGGTCCTGAGTTCTATTCCTGTACCAAAAAAAAATTAAATATTTTGGAAAAGTCGTAAAGTGATGAAGTAACTTCTGAAGGTCATGCAGCTAAGGAGAAGGACGGGCCCTTGAATCTAGGTTTTCAGTTCCAAACCCACTCTGTGTGGTAATAGTTCTCTAAAACTGATATACATTACCAGATTAACAAACATCTACCTTTCCTCAAAACTTTTCTAGAGCAAGGGCAGCAAATCTTTGGATTTTAAGGGATTTAGAGATAATATGAGTTATATGATAGGAGAACTAAAACAAATAGATTATAACAGTCTTTTTTCTTTCTTTCAAAAAATGCTAATAGGTATTAGGAGAAAGAAGATTTTGTGATCAAATTCCTGGCTAATGTATTAATTTCTTCACTGCAGGATCATCTAAACTTTTAACGAGCCAATGTTCGCTGTAAATCTCACTAGAGTATGATATACATCATTTCCCAAACTATCTCCCATAACCACCTCAAGAAGCGTGAGTGTTCCAGGTAGTATTTTGATACCTCTGTAAGATAAGGCTAATTATAAACATGGAGTTAGCTGAATTAGAGGAATTTAACTTGCCACCTGAACCATAAATTCAAGGCTCCTTTTTTTCCTCATTCTCCAACCCCAGGATTCCTTAACATCTGTTCTCAAGTCACTAATGAATAAATTCAGTGTTTAAATTCAATGTCTTGGGCCAGTGATATAGCTCAGTGGTGGAAGCGCCTGCCTAGGAAGCGCAAGGTCATGAGTTTGATTCCTGGTTCCAAAAATAAATAAATAAATAAATAAATTCAATGTCTTTCCTTAGAACTTTCAAAATAGCTTTTTTTTTTTTTTTTGTCTTTTTGAGACAGGGTCTCACTATGCAGTTCAGGCTGACTGCAAGCTCACTTTGTAGCCCAGGCTGGTCTCGAACTTACGACGATCCTCCTGCCTCAGCCTCCCAAGTGCTGGGATTACAGGTGTGCGCCACCATGCCCAGCTTCAAAATATCTTATAAATATGTTTGTGGTTTGAAATAATACAAGAAGAGAAAAAAAGTCAATCTCTCTAACCAAAGATAACTTTCATATATTTTCAATTGTTTTCCTGTCAATCTGTTACCTAAATTTTACAAAATTATTGTTCTCACTGCAATATAACCTAAATAACAAAGGGAACTCTTGTACTGACAGAGTAGTTTTAAATGTATTTTTATAAATTTTTCTCCAGATTTAGTTCAGTAGGTATTTATTAAGTACCTAGTATACACAAGATAAACTGTGGTACAGATGGGGTACAACTTTGTTAATCATAAATGGCCTCTATCCTTATAGACTTTATAATCCCCTAGCAGACAGGCATTAAGTAATTGCAACACAAAATAAAAACAAAAAATATGAAAAATCCCAATTCTGAGGGAGTTAGTACAGTTCTATATTTTACTTTTCCAATTATACTTATGAATGTTATCCAATGTTAAATTCCATGAGAACTTGATTTTTCATGAATATATATTCTTTTTGTGGACATTGTGTTACATACACATTATAAATGCAGTTTATCTAATTTGTTATACAATAATCAAAACTATTAAGTTTACATATCTACTTGTATATGTCCATTCAAGAACATACTAGAAAAACTGATCTGAGCTGCACACATGGTAGCACATGCCTGTGACCCCAGCACTCCAGGAGGCTGAGGTAAGAGGATCACCATGAGTTCAAGGCTGGCCTGGGACACATAGTGAAACACTGTCTCAAAAACAAACAAACAAAAAAGAACTGATTTACCTACGGTATTGTAACACTAACTAATATCTTTTATGTAAACCTTTTATCTTTATGACATCTCTAAATACCTTGGTCTCCTGAAATGAAATGGTTAGAAGTATAAAAATTTCTTAAATACTTGGAATATATGGCTAAATGGTGTAACATAACTTACAATCTAACAAAATATTTTTCTAGCAGTTAACCTTTATTATAAAGCTTTAGCTACACAACAAGCACCATGCTAAGAGGTTCATAATTTATTCATTGAATGGTAACAGTAATACTATGAGGTAGGTTTTAATACTATCCTCATTTTTATAAATGAGGAACCTGAGACATATTTAACAATTTTCCAGAATCATACAGGATTTCAGTCTGTAAAATTTGCTTCTAAAATCTGTACCCTTAATATCAAAGCTATAAAACTTCTAAGACATAAGAATTTCTTAGATCATGGGCTGGGGATTTAGCTCAGCGGCACAGCGCCTGCCTGGCAAGCGCAAGGTCGTGAGTTCAATTCCTGGTACTGGAAAAAAAAGAAGAATTTCTTAGATCTTAATCAGTTGCTAGCATTACAAGGCTGCCTGAGTGAAAAAATTAGGGTGATAGTTTACTGGCTTTCAGACACCTGAGCCATTCAAGAAATCAAAACTAGCTAAGCACTGTGGTACATTCCTGTAATCTCAGCACTCTAGGAGGCTGACACATGAGGATCTCAAGTCCAAGACCAGCTTGGACAACTTAGTGAGACCCTACCTCAAAATTTAAAAACAAACAAAAACAACTACAAAAAATGGCTAAGGATGGAAGCCGGAGCTCAGGGCAAAGACCCTGGGTTCAATCCCCAGTAAAAGACAGGCAAAGACAGGGTGGGGGGTTGTGTGGAAAAAGGGAGGGTAGAGAGGGAAGAGAGTATGTGTGTGAGAATGAGACAGAAACACAGACCAACCCTGGAAAATGAAGAGCAGCCCTCTTATTCTTTGTGATTTTTTTATATTCTCTACATAAGCACACAAAATTGTTTTCCTGTATTGGGGATTGAACTCAGGACCTCACCGATGCTGTATCCCCAGCCCTTTCTATTTTGACATAGGGTCACACAAAGTTACACAGGCCAGCCTCAAACTTATGATCATCCTGTTTCAGCCTCCCAGGTAGTAGGCAGGATACAACATGTGCCCAACACTGCTGTACTAGTTAACACCATTTTTCTTTTTTTTCTTTTTTTTTTTTTTTTTGAGACAGGGTCTCACTATGTAGTTCAGGCTGGCCTTGAGCTCACTTTGTAGCCCAGACTGGCCTCAAACTCGCAACGATCCTCCTGCCTCAGCCACCCGAGTGCTAAGATTACATGCGTGCACCACCACGTCCAGCTAACACCATTTTTCTATGCATGTATAAATACATTAAAAGTTTAAGACCTGGTACTATAATATTATATACATAACTTTCTATTCTTTAAAAGGTGCATTTTTTCCTACCTTCTTAAAGACATTTCATTTACACAGCACAGTATTTGACTGCATGGATGTGCCTTTTCCCCCCAAGTACCTTGGGACAGGAGTTCACTATATAATCCAGGCTAACCTGAACTCACTACGCAGCCCATGCTGGCCCCAAACTCACAATCCTCCTCTGCCTCATGCTCTCGAGTGCTGGGATTACAAGCATGAGCCACTACACACAGCTGGACAGGCCATCACCAAATCATCACCATACCTCTGCGTATTTAATTTCAGTAATTCTTTGTTATAAAATATGTCTTCATGAATCTCTTATTACACACAGCTCTGAGTACTGATTTCATTAGGCTGATTAGAAGTTTGGAGTCCTGAACCAAACAGTATTTTTTAGGCTCTTGACAGAAACTGCCGCTGTCCTGGAAGGCTGTTCTAACACCTTTATAAACAACTCTCTTGAACTGGATCTCAGTAAACAGAGCTACTGTCACTCTGTTCCACTTTTCCATTCCACTCCTAGACTGGCTTGTAGTTCTGCTGTAACTGAAACACCAACTGGACAAGCGTTTACTGAGTACTGACTTTGTGCTGGATATCGTACTGGCACTATCAGCATAGTATGAGGCAAAGGAGACCTACGTGAGCCCATGGTCAGGCAAATAAAGTGTTCTTGCTATGTCATCCTACCTCTTTCCCATAATTATACCTCTCTTCCAGTTTTTTATTACATTTTAATTTCAAAGCTATGAATTGAACTGAACGTCTAAGTATTGAAAAATTACAGAAAAACTTAAAAATTAGATCTTGAAAGTAAAACTCACAATAGTGGTTACTTACCAGAAAGGCATTGGATAAGCAAAGCGTTCCCTCAAATCAACACTCATGAAAGGAACATATTCTATACCATTTATTTTTGATGTTGTCCTATAAAGTGAGAAAACATTCTAAGGTGAATATTCAAGTCTATCTTATTAATGGCCAATCTTAAACTCTTCAAAATTTAAATGACAAGGTACAGTATTGTATTAAACTGATAACCTCATGTTATTAAATATATTTGGATAAAATTTTCATAAAACTGAGTATCAGAAAATAACTGATGTACTTAAATTCAATAAAAGTTATTCTTTTTAACACTAACATCCTTCACAACAAAACTCTAGTCTCAAGACAAGCATATTTCAGAGGCAATGAAAGCGCCCTTATGTCCCTTACCAGCACACAAAATCAATTCTATCTTAAGCCCAAAGGGACAAATCAACTGTTCAGTTATTTTAGAATTTTAAAAACATAAAATTTACAATTCTGAAAAATATGTTCTTCATATTTTCCAATACATGGGAATATAGAATAGATAATGGAGGAAATAACACAGATCTCAGCTACGGTCTGTTGACAAATTTAAGAAATGAGGTTTGTGATAGCTTTGCCTATTTTCTCCCTCCGTGTACTTTATTTGGAGCAGCTGCAGGATATCTGCACAATTTAGTCTTCAGGCAACGACGGTCAGTGAATTTGAGAATTAAAACAGTCAACAGCAGACACAATGACTTGGGGACCACGTACAGCCATGTTCTGGAAAGAGGATGAGGACATTTCACTTGTATGTGGGGCAGGGGGAAATGCACTGCTGTTGTGATGCAGAATTCCAAATGTGTGTAGGGAGCACAGGGACGGTGAAGAGCCCAAACACTGTACTCTTACTTAGCGTCACTCAGCTCCAAAGCTACCCTTCTGTCTTATTTTGTGTTGTACTGGTTCATAAGCAATTTTCTAGACAAAGGAAACCAGATCAGAAGGAATAGAATTAAAATCTTCAACGGGAAAGAAAGATGCCCTTTCAGCTCAATTTTAGGAAAATTAAAAATGAGTATCTACATGACTTGCATAGTTCTAAGCAAGTCATGTTCACAGTTCTAAGTTCTTGCAAACTTCTAATCGTATCTACACTGGCTCAGAAGACCATTTATAGGATTTCTATATTAATATGGAAAATAAAGGATTTCTATATTCATATGCTTCACATCTGCAGTATCTCCTGAAGCTTCTTTCACACATGTTGAGGTGTACACCAGGAAGTCTTTGAGTGCTTTTTGTAGGGAGCCAGACAGTACAGTTTATGTTTGGCAATCAGGTCTGTGTCACATATCCTTCTGTGCTCATTTTCTTTTTAAAAACCCTTTAAAAAAGTGAGAAATGATTTATGGCTCACAACGTTAGTGTAGTTTGCTGGTCCAGACGCTACTTCAAGGCACCACGCATCCCCATTAGGGCTCTGCTTACAAAGCTGCACAGACTGCTAGTACTGCCCACAGCTCTGCTGTGCTCCTTAACACTCAGGGCCCAGCACTGCAAAGATACTCACGTAACAAATGTTGCAGAGTAAGTGCTGTGCAAGAATGTGTAAAGCAATTCCTACTTGCAAGGCGCTCATGGTAAAGAATGGTAATACTAAAGAACATTAGAAATTTTAACTCTTCCCTTCAAAGTGACTATATGATATTATTACTTATAATTACCTAATAACACTTTTTAAATAAACATCTGAATACAATTCAGTAAATCTAATGAGAACACAATTACACGCATTATGTCAACAAAGTTCATTATAATTAATCATTAATGGATTTACCTGAGCACTTCTATTTCTTCTGCTGTGTACCTCTGTCCTTGTGCATCGCATGACTGTGGACTTACAAATGGCTGAGATTTTTCAGGGAAGGAATTAGCTCCTAATGGAAAATGGGTTTTCACTGGAGGTGGTTTTGGTTTAATATTTGACTTGATTTTGTAGAACGGCTTTGTCAAAGGCTCACTCAATGCTTCTGCTCTATAACACAGGCACAGAAAAACAGTATTAGTCTTTCTTCTCACATTTAAGCATTTTTCCTTTTGGAAGTACTGGAGATTGAACCCAGGGCCTCTGCACTAGATCCTCCAGATCTTTTTTTATTTTACCCAGACTTGGCTCGAACATGTAATCCTCTTGCCCTAGCCTCCCACAGTGCTGGGATTACAGATGTGCACCATGTCCAGCTATAGTTAAATTTTTAGGAAACAAAGTTTACTTCAAAAACTAGTCAGCCACTCTTAACAGAAAATTAGTATATAAAATTCTTACACACTAGTCAAAATCTCGTTACTTTAGCTACTCCCAAAAGGTAAGTATTTTTGCAAATAACATTCTTTTTTTCTTTTGAATTTTTATCTTTTTGAGACAGAGTCTCACTATGCAGTTCAGGCTGGCCTTGAGCTCACTTTGTAACCCAGGCTGGCCTCAAACTCTCAACGATCCTCCTGCCTCAGCCTCCCAAGTGCTGGAAATATAGGCATGTGCCACCACGCCCGGCTTGCAAATAATACTGTATTGACAACATTACTTGAACACTCCTTGTATGTTAGATACTATACAAAATAAGTGGTGTGCAAGAATGTATAAAGCAATTCCCATTTGCAAGGTGCTCATGGCTTTGTAGAGAAAGATGACTGCATCAAAATGACAGCGATGCTGGGACAAATGTGAATGAATGCATGAAAGACACTACAGACTTAATGTCTAGAAAAGAGAGTAAGGGAAGGCTGCTTTGAAGTGATGCTGAAGCCACAGAGAACTTTTCTGAAATACAGAGAACATGCATGTGAGTTCACTTCTAAGGAATGGGTATGCACCCTGTGAAAAGTACAACTGAGAGGCAGCAGAGGAGAGGACAGGAAGGCAGGAGTGGATTACAGAAGGCCTCACATCTATGCCAGGGAATTTTGCTTTTGTTCTGTCAAAGGACAAGCTTAAAACTAGAAGTTCTTAACCAGAGGTCCATATATGACTGGGGTTTTGTGAACACTCTGAAACTATATGCAAAAAGTTATATACGTACATTTTTCTAGAGAGCACAGTTTTCAACAGACCCTCAAAAGTACTCATTACTGACAAGGCCCCTGCCCTTGCTTACAATGAACTCAGAAATACTGATGGGTTAGCCACTAGATGGGTAATACTCAGAAGTCCTAGACGCACTGTAAGTCAGCTATGATTCTGATGAAAAAGTCAAGCTAGAGAAGACAACTATGTGCCACATGCTCATATCTTCACGAATGTGGAGAAACAAACTAAAGGTTAGTTGACAGGTGATGAAAAGGAAGAACGACATACCTCAATGAGTAAGAAAAGCTGAGGGCTGTACAGCTATCGAGTCAGGGCCTCAAAGGGAGATAATTTCAGTAATTCATGCTATAGGTATAGATGCAATTTCCCCCTTTTCCTTAACTACAAAACTCCTTCAAGAGGTATAACTCTCTCATACACACTCATTCATTCTTTCAACAAATACGTACAAGCATATTCTACATATGAGGAGTTCTGCTACATGCTTGGCTACAGCACTAAACCAACAGGCAAAGTTCTGTCTTCACAGAGCTTACATTTGGGGGATGAGGGTTGAAAGGAACACAAAGAACAAACACGAATTCTATGCCTCTGACAGAGGTAAGAGCTATGAGAAAGAATATTAGAAGAGATTAAGCAGGGCAAAATGCTTGAGGAGACTCGACTCTAAATAGAATAGTCATGGCAGGCCTCAATGCAAAGCTGACACCAACTCAGCTGAAGGAGCTACACAGAATGTACGACTTGGGGAACGTGCATGTCTGGAAGCAGGACAACTCTCAACCTCTATTTCTGTAGCAGCTCTGGAAGCATTTCTAGAGGTTCTCTTCTGTGAAGTCTGATACGGTACAATGTAGGAAAAGTCACCCATGGCAAATACCACAGTCATTTCTGCTCTCTAAGAAAAAACTAAAAACATTTCTTGATGGATTGAGGTTAAAGCGAGAAACTAAAAACAGGTAGATCCAGTCATTTGAAGAAGACAGACTTCTAGATCTCAGTTTAAAAAGATGAAGGTTTGCTGCCATGACCTGTGCCACACATTGAAACAAGTCTGTTATGTAACAAGTAACAAAACATGCCAGCCACCAGGTAGCACTTGCATGACCAAAACTCACCTATCTAGGGCCTGTCGAGCCAACTGTTTCAGTTTATTTTGCAGGGTTTTATCAGCAGTTTCAGAAGACTTAAGAGAAAGAAAGAGACAGACATCCTAAAGCACAAGTATTTTTTAATTTGTCTGATCCATGCTATTTCTATGCAAAATAAATACAATGCACATTACACTTCTTGAAATCATGAATGAATTGAATAAACAAAAAGAACATTTTGTTTTCACCTTTAAAGATTACCATTTAAAACAGTGTTGAAAACTTGCCATTTAAGTGAACTTAAAGGACCACTGAATGAGACTGAGGCAGGAGAACTGCAAGTTCAAGGCCAGGCTGGGTGACCTACCAAGACCCTGTCTCAAAATAAAAAATAAAATACAAAAACCACTGGGAATATAGCTCAGTTCTCCCTGGGTTCAATCCCTGTACCTGGGGGCGGGGAGAGCTGACACTGCGAAGGGCTCTGCAACACCCAGGCTCTAGCATTTCACCGTCTTCCTGCCAAGTGCATGCTCTTAAGCAGCAGATGCTCTCTGAACTGAAGGCAGCTCCCGAGGGAGCTGTAAAAGGCCACCCTGCTTAGACTTTATGCTACAAATTAATAAAGCTCTTCCAAACTAATACTGCAACTTATTTTTTACAATATGAAATTGAAAAGAAGTTTATTCTAAATTTGTAATTTATGATGGCAAATTCTTTCTGTAATAGTTGTAGTTATTAGGTTATTAGCAGGTTAAAAATTAGTTCCTGTAACTTAAAACTTGATTGCTTACTTATTCAATAGAGATAAAATTTTAATAAGCTGCAAAACCCATTAACTATGACTCTACTTTGTCAGGAGGGTTTACTGGGAATGGAACCCAGGGCCTTACTAATGCTACATAGGGGCTCTACCACTAATCTACACCCCTAACCATTTCCTAACTTTAACAAGACATAGTCTCTGTAAATTGCCCATGCTGTCCTGGGACTTGAAATCCTACTGCCTCAGCCTTCCAAGTACCAGATAGGCATGTACCACAATACCTAGCTTCACCATCTTTTGATAAGTGAACATCTTTTAATGTAACATAAGTTACATTTATAATAATAGAACTTAGAATCTTCAAAGAGTTAAGTAAAATTCATTAGCAAAGGAGTTTCTTAACATAATTCCACCAAATTTAACCTGCAGCTATACATACAGTTTTCAGACAGAGATCCACAGCTTCCGTATACAATTCTATAGCTTCTTCAACATTCTGTTTTTCATCTTCATCAAAAGCTTGTGTAACAAGGAAATGAGCACGCTCCAAGTCTAACTGATGTTTTGATTTCAAAGGACCAGCACTCTTTGACTGAACTAGGACAAGAAAGAAAGCATATATAGAGAGAGGATTACTCAAATACAGCAGGGAATAGTACACCATTTTAACACATTTAAAACCATCTTTACCAAGCTCTATATTCCCTGTATTTAAAAAGTTTAGCAAAGTACATATATACATTTTTTAAAAAACTTAAGAATAACTCCCTGTTATGGTTTGTATTTAGATGTCCCACCAAAACCTCATGTAGTCATAGATGGAGCTTTTCAGAGGTGGCTGGATCTTGAGTATGTGATGCTGGGATTAAGGATGTGCTACTGGGACTGATTCACAGTGCCATGCTAAGATTAAGGGTGCCCCACTCTGGATGTGTGCTCCCTCAAGGGCAGGTAGCCTGGACAGAATATAAGGGACAGAATATAAGGGACAGAAAGAGGGTTGCTGTTGTCACTCACTGCTTGTTGCTTACTGCTTCTTCGACACTTTGCTGTTTTGCTGCCTTCTGCCCACCATGAACTGTTTCTCCTCTGTGATGCCCCTCTGCCAGGTGTCACCCTGCCTTAGAGCCAGCCAACTATGGACTGAAACCTCTACAAACTGTGAGCCAAATAAACCTTTCCTCCCTTAACTTTCCCACAATAATAAGTGTTGGTGAGGCTGTGAAGGAACTGGAACCCTGCTACATTGCTGGCAGAATTGTTCAATAGTATATCAACTTTTTTGGGGGGAATGGGGTAACTGTGTAGCAACTTTTGAAAACTTGCCGTTCTTCACAGAGTTATCATATGAACTACCATCCTACTGCTGGGTATATATTCAAGATAACTGAAGGCATACTTTTACATAAAAACTTGTAAACCAATGTTTATACCAGTATTGTTAACAGTCAAAAGGTGAGAAAAAACCAAATACCTATTAACTAACACACGGAAAAAATACAGTATATACGAATGTTATTCAGCCATAAAAAAGAATGAAGAATTGACACTTCCTACAATATAAGTAACCCTTACAAACATTAAAATTCAGTGAAAGAAGCCAGGCAACGAAAGGGTTCGATGATTCTATTTACTGTATATGAACCATCCAGAATACCTTCCTATACAGACAGAAAGGAGATTAGTGAGTCCTAAAGGATAGGCATTGGAGGAACGGGAAGTGGCTGCTTAGATAAGGGGTTTCTTCTAGGGTGATAAAAGTTCTAAAATTAGAGAGTGACTGTGCTTGCACAACTCTTTACTAAAGCCACTAATATACTGAAATGTTTGATTTAAAAGAGTGAATTTGCCAGGCATGGTGATACATGCCTATAATCCCAGTGCTGCAAGAGGCTGAGGCAGGAGGATCAAAAGTTCAAGCCCAGCCTGGGCAATTTAATGACTTAGCAAGGACCTGTCTCAAAATTTTAAAAAATAACTAATTAATTAATTACAAGGGCTAGAATGGAGCCTGGGTTCTATCACCAGTCGGTGGAGGGGGTATGAATTTTATGGTGAGTGAATTATAGCCTCAACAAACCTGTCAATTTTTTAAAGTTTTGTATTTTGTTAGTTTCTTAAAGGTATGTGTTGATGTTTTAACCCTTTTTAACACCTCTCTTGAGGTATGCGATAATCCCATTCATAAAACAAAAGCACCAAAGCCCAAAAATATTAATCTAGCCCAGCCCAGGGTCTCTTAGCCTTGGCATTACTGATATATTGTACTGGATATTCTTTGTTGTGGGGGAACATCCAGTGTATTTATAATTTTTAGTAATATTCCAGGCCTCTACCCAATTAGATGCCAGTAACATACTTCCCACTCCACGCAGCAGTATGTAAACCAAACATACTGTCAAACATGGCTGGGTGGGGGTACTGCAAAATCATTCCCCATTAAGAAGTACTGATCTAACCTAGGGTTTCACAGCTACAAATAGAAGGGAAAAAATCAACTTCAATCTTTTAATTCCAAATCTCAAATCTCTTTATATCATACTAGTCAATTTCAAACTGTGTTACCTTTCCCCACCTGGAGGTCAACTTATCTTCTGTTAGTTTGACTTCTATGAGCAGACTATGCTTTTAAAATTGGGGTTCTAAAAAGTATTTTTTTTAAAAAGGAACATTTTGTTTAAAATAATGAAACATTTAATTCTCTACAGGTTACATACATTACATTTACTGAACAAAATGGGTAAAAAATTGGTGAAACAACTAAGGTGGCCTGCTTTAAAAATTCTTTTTAAACTTGTCTCAGTGATAGGTCTCTTCAAGAGACTAGGGCTGTTTCATCTGAGCCTGAATATCACAATCATAAATGTATTTAGAATGTGCTTCTCAAAATCAAATGCAATCTGTTTTGGTTTTTGCTATGTTGCTCAAGCTGGCCTTGAACTCAGGGGCTCAAGTGATCCTCCCGCCTCAGTCTTCTGAGCACTGGACTACCTGCGTGTCCATGCCCAGCTCAAACATAATTTTTTAGGTTTAGCTATATTTAATACAGAGTAGAAAGAATTCTTTTTTTTTTGGTATTAGGACTCAAACACAGAACCTCACACTTGCCAGGCAGGTGCTGTGCCACTGAGCTAAATCCTCGGCCCCAAATCTAATTCATTAGTAGAAAATATTAGTAATTCATATTTTTCCCCATTCCTATAAGAACTTCAAGGGTTTAAAGAACACTCTGGTTTGGATATTATAACCTATGTCAAAAATGTGCCTGAATATGTGCACATATGGAAAAGAAATACAGAAATATTCCTTTAGTTACCAGGGTTTCTATTTGTCAAATATTATCACCACGTACCTTCTAAACAATCTGCTTTAATATTTAACGTGTTTCAGAAAGGGGATTTCCAGGATAATGCAATGTTTGTACTTTTATCTCTCCACATCTGATTAAGGGCTTCCTGAGAATTCATCTACCAATACTTGGCAGACAGCCCAAATATTCACTCAATAAATGATTGTTGAAATAAAGAGAAATATATACAAAAAACCAAAGAGATCATGAAAGCACGCATTAAAGTGTCCTGTCTATACTTCAAAGATAATTTTAAAACAGCTTATAAAACAAAGCTGGAAAAATGAAGTTCCCCTGAACCACAAAATAACATTTTTTTCTTTCAATTTTTAAATTTTTATTGGTAACTGTTTGCAGTACATAATAATTACATTCATTGCAGAGAGCTGGTACCTGTACAAAACACATCTTTTTGCAATGTTGGGGACTGAACCAAGGCCCTTGGGCATGCTAGGCAAGCACTCTACCACACAGCTACACTGCCTAAATGCATGAGTCAGTGTAACTTCTTGTCAAGGAAGGACTGATACCCAGGCAGTCGTCCTGTGTATTGTAGTCCTGTGTACTGTACACTGTTCAATATATGCAATTTCTGGGCATTTTCTGAAAATAACCTGCTTTTTAAAGAGGATTACTATAACAGAAAAGTAGATCAAATCTACTTTATCCTAACCATGTGCTTTGTAACTGCTCACATTTAGAATTAGTGGTAGCAAGAAGCACGAAGTCTATCAGAATAAAGATTCCTCTCAAGATTCCTCTGCTTGTGGCTGTATTATCCAGTAACACAAAAAGGTGTTAAAAATCATCTCTAGGGCTAGATGAGGTGGCACACTTACAATCCTAGCACACTGGGATACAGAGGTAGGAGGATGGCAAATCTGAATATAGCCTGGGCAACTTACCAAGACGCTATCTCAAAATTTAAAAGAAGGGCTGGGGATGTAGCTCAATGCAAAGGCTCTGGGTCCAATCCCTAGTACTACCCTTTCCGCAAAAAAAACATTCCTGCACTGAGCTACATCACAGCCCTTTCTTTTTTCTTTTCTTTGAGACAAGGTCTCAATAAACTACTAAACCGACCAGGCTGGGCTCAAACTTGTGACCCTCCTGCCTGCTCACCCTTCCAGAGTGCTGAGAGTACAGGCATGCACCACCACACCCAGCAAGCCTGTGCACACTCCTATCACAGCACTTGCCACACTGTTTACAGAAAGAAAGAGAAGCTGTTCTAGGCCTCTGCTTACATGTTGCTTTTCCAAGGCACTGTTTAAAAAGAGCTGAGCAAAGGTCTTGAGGCAGAGCACACTGACAGGGAACGGACTGGGCCTGTCGCTGAAGTCTTTAGACACTGAAGAAGATTAGACAATTTTAATATCAACAGAGGGCATATGTTAGGTATCTAAAAAACAGACCCTACCAAGGTTCTAATCCTAACTTTTGCCAGTTATAAATTACATCTCTGGGAAATTAGGAAGTTGGACTGTAAGAGTTCTCTCATACATCTATGACATATTTCCAATTATGATTTTTGAAAGAGGAATGAGCAAGAAATGAAGATCAAGAACCACAAGTGAAGAGAGAGTAACATAGGCAAAAGATGTGATGGAAAAGAAAAATCCACAGTGACAACTTCAGGAGCTTCACCAACCTGCAGAATGCAGAGCTTGAACTCTTTCCAGATACTCATTTATTTTTTCTTGAATACGTTCTAGGCTGGATCCTGCCATCTCGGCATAAATTAAGGCTTGTGCTGCTTCCTAAAAATAAAAATAATTCAAAGTAATCAAACAGATGCATTACAATTTGAATTTTCATTACTACTTTCCAATTCGTTGTAAGTTTCCACAAATGACAAAACATTTTTATTAGTATATTTTTCTGATACATAGTAACTGTAATCATCTTGGTGAATTAATACACATACATATCACATCTTGGTCATTTTTACTCCCCCTTTCCTTCCGAAGAACATCCTCACAGTACTTTTTTCATAAAATAGTTAAGTTATATAACCTTTCAATACCCTTTCTTCAGTTTTCAAAGTTCTCAATTTTCATATACGGTAGAAAACTTAAGAACTTAAGTATGTAAGTATAAGGAATTAATTAAAACACTTCATCAGAATAGCTGTAATATGCATGTTTTACATCTATTGATCAGATTTTAAATTATACACTTTGAAAAGATAAAATGAACTGTAAAAGCATTAAAATGGGCTGGGCGGTGGTAGCTCGGATAGAGCACTTCCGCAGTATGTTCAAAGTTTCGGGTTCAATCCTCAGCACCTCCAAAAACAAAACAAAAGCATTAAATAATAACCATCAAAATAAAATTAAATATCAAGATTGTAAGAAATTAAAAAGCACTGAGGCTGAGGTAAAAGGATCTCAAGTTCAAGCCCAGCCTAGGCAGCTTAGCAAGAACTTATTTCAAAATAAAAAAATTTTAAAAGGGCTAAAGAGGGGCGAGGGATATAGCTCAGTGACACAGAGCCCTGCCTGACAAGTGCAAGGTCCTGAGTTTGATTCCCAGTACCAAAAAAAAAAAAAAAAAAAGGAGGAGGACTAGAGGGGTAGCTCAGGATTCACTCCCTAGAACTATAAAAATGTAGTAAGTTATAAAAGTTAAATATCTCACCAAGTATTTTTCAGCACAGAAAATACTATCAAAGGATAACACATACTAAAGCAGAATTAATTTGTATGATATAAATTTATTTTCATTAAGAAAATCTTGCTTCTTCCAGTTATTCTGTAAGTTCCAAGCAAGCTATGTTATGACTAGTGAAGAAGAGCTTCCGTCTCCCATCACCATTCGAGGAAGGAAACCAATGCTACCACCTAGAAAGGGCACAGGTTTCTCCAAGGAACAGCACCTTGTCTGCAGCATCCCAAGTATGTCCTACACTTTATGGGGCCTTATGCCTGTCAGTCCCCAAAGGGGCCATCCACAGAGCATCATTTTCTGAATCCAGTTATTTCAGCAGGAGTTCTGAACCTAACAAAATCAGTAAGAAAAATAGTTTTGACGTTAGTGGAAATTCAACCCAAAGGTTGTGGTGTAGAAAACCCTCATGAGTTTCTGAGATTACATAACTCAGATGTTCCAAGGGAGAAAATCACAACTTTAAATATTGTATCTTGCCGGTAGTGGTGGCCCATGCCTGTAATCCCAGCACTCGGGAGGCTGAGGCAGGAGGATCGTTGCAAGTTCAAGATCAGCCTGGGCTACAAAGTGTGCTCAAGGACAGCCTGAACTGCACGATGAGACCCTGTCTCAAAAAGACAAAAATAAATAAATAAAAATAAATAGATAGATAGATAAATACTGTATCTTAGCTGGAGAGAGTGGTGCAAGCCTATAATCCTAGCACTCCCAAGGCTGAGCCAGAATTCCCTTGAGCTCCAAACCAATTTAGGCTTCATACTGAGTTCAAGGCTAGCCTGAACTGTACAGAGAAACCCAGGCAAGCAATAATAATAATAATAATAGCTGTATCTGATGTACCATCATCTAAATACATTCTAGTTACACTGTGACCAACTGAACCTTTTACTTTACCCATTCAACTGTCTTGCACGTAAATACTGATTTTCAAATAATTATTTTTGCTTTTAAAAAATTCAAATTTTATAATTCTTCACAACAGTTTTATTTTACTCATTTTATTTATGTTCAAAAATGACTAGCTGAGTATGATAAGTAGCATATGCCTGTAATCCCAGCACTGGGGAGGCTTAGCCAGGAGGATCGCCCCAAGTTTGAAGCCAGCCGGGACTAACAGTGAGTTCAAGTTCAGCCTGAACTGCACAGCAAAATTGTGTTTCAAAATAAATAATTAATTTTTTTTTAAATTACAAAAGTAAAGATTCTGAAACACACCAAAAGTCTCCTATGAAACCAATAAAATATTAGTCTGGAGAAAACGACACTACCGGTAGTACTTGGGCTTATGAAAAAAGTTTACTACTTAGATATGGCGTTCTTACTCAAAGAAGAGGTAAAATCAGGAGGACATGGTTACCTTGGCATTTGCCTAGAGGTGGAGAGGCGTGCTCCCAAATCCCTAGGTTTGGAGAGCAGAAAATGCATTATGGAAGCTCAGTCTTTGATTTAGCAACTGTGCTCCATGTAATTCATCCAAAAGAACTATCAAGAAAATCTGCCAAGCACTACTTACAAGGATATTAACTGCAGAGTTACTTAGGACGCCGAAAAATCAGAATGACACTTTGTGCCTAACAGGTTGGAAATTACAGTACATGCCCATAACGAAATACTATGCAGCTGTTACTGTGACACTAAATTTAATGATTTGGGGAAATGTTCAAACGAAAAGAACTCGTACAAACAGTTCGTGAAAAAACTGTGAACACCCACATACGCACATATAAAAGCTATAAAGGTAGACATCAAATGCTGGGATAAGGGATGAGCTTATGCTTTTTAGTTTATTTTACTTTTTCAACGAACATGCATAGTTGTGGTGCGAATCACAGACCACTTCCCGCCGGACATAAGTCAGAGCCGAAGCACAGCAAGAACTGGACAACTCCTGGGCTCCGCGGCCGCCATGAGCAGCGCCTCGGGGGCACCTGC